ATTTGTACTTTTTAATTCCCTCACCTCTTTACCCATTGTCCTCCCCTCATCCCCTGCTGTCTGACAACCATCAAAAAGTTCTTTGTATTGATGATTCTGTCTCTTATCTTTTTGTTTGCTTAGTTTTTTTAGATTCAGCTTTTGATGGATAAGTATTTTTGCCTTTTTATTGTTCATAGCTTTGATCTTCTTTTTCTTAAATAAGTCCCTTTAACATTTCATATAATAATGGTTTGGTGATGATGAACTCCTTCAGTTTTTTTTCTTGTCTGAGAAGCTCTTTATCTACCCTTTGATATCTTCGCTGGGTAGAGGGATCTTGGCTATAGTTCCCAGCTTTTCATGACTTTTAATATGTCTTGCCAGTCCCTTCTAGCCAACAAAGTTTCTTTTGAGAAATCAGCTGGCAGTCTTATGGGAACTCCCCTGTAGGTAACTAACTGCATTTCTCTTGGTGCTTTTAAGATTCTTTCTTTATCCTTAACCTTTGGCATTTTCATTATGCTGTGTCTTGGAGTAGGCCTCTTTATATCCATCTTGTTTGGGACTTCATTATTTTTTCAAATAGATTTCCAATTTCTTGCTCTTTCTCTTCTCTTTCAGGGACCCCTATGATGAGAATGTTGGACCTCCTGAAGTTGTGTCAGTGGCTGCTTATACTATCTTCTTTTCTTTCTTGGATTCTTTTTTCTTCTCTTACTCTGATTGGTTGTTTTGGCTACCTTATGTTCCATATTATTGATTTGATTCTGGGTTTCATCCTTTCTATTATTGTTTCCCTGTAAATTGTTCTTTAATTTAATTAATGTATCCTTTGTTACTCACTGGATCTTTTTTATGCTGTTGAGATCCTCACTAAGTTCCTTGAGCATCATTATAACCAGTGTTTTGAACTCTGCATCTGATAGATTACTTATCTTCATTACATTTAGTTCTTTTTCTGGAGTTTTGATCTGGTTTGTTTTTTGTTTTTTGTTTCTGTTTTTTTTTTCCATTTAGAGCCCAAGGGTGCCCAACCTTCTGGCGTCTCTGGGCTACACTGGAAGAAGAATAATAGTCTTGAGCCACACATTAAATACAAACACTAATGAAAACTGATGAGCAAAAAAAAAGTTCAGAGATATGACAGAGATTTCATATTGGGCAACATGCAGCCCATGGGCCATTGTTTGGACATCCCTGAAATTAGGGCCATGTTCCTTTATCTCCTTGTTTTTCCAGCCTCCATGTGTCTTGGTAGTATGTGTCTGTGTCTTGGTAGTATGGTCTAATGTAGGAGGCATCCTGTAGGATCCAGTGGCCCAGCCTCCCCTATCATCCAAGCTGGATACTCAAGGTGCACACTCTGTGTGGGCTGAGTATACCCTCCTTTTGTAGTTGAGCCTTGGTTGTTGTTAGCAGATCAGTGGGAGGCATTTACCCAAACCAGTCAGCTGCAAGGATTGTCTGTGACCACTGACCACCAGCATCCATACTACATGAAGAATCAGCTGTGCAGGGGAGGGTGGTGATGCTCTGACATGGTCTGAAGCTGTCCAGTGGGTGCTTTGTCCCTGGCATTTCCCAGGTGGTGCAGGAGAAGCTCAGCCCCCATCTGTTTTTTGCTCAAGGTCACACTGCCTCAGCTCTAAAGCAATATGAGATGGCTGCTACCTGTGCTGGGCTTGGAGATTCCTAGGTAAATCTAGGCTGGCTGGTTCTATTTCCGGACCTGGGGCTCACTGAGGCCAGCTGTTACTTGTTTGAGAGGATTTAGGAAGTTGTGAAGCATGTGCCAAGATGAGTCATTCATATGGTAAAGTTGCTTAGGTGAGCCCATAAGTTGCCTGGGCCAGAGTCTCTGGGGATCTCCAAGTCAGGTTAAGCAGTGTTAGCCAGGTTGATGTGAGTCTTAGATATGGCACAAGCTTGCTGGCTCTGTGGCAGGAAGGTTTAGCAAAGGGACAGTGACATCTGCTCTCCTTAACGTCAGATACTTCAGTTTCTCCCAATATACCACTGGTGCCTTTTAAGCTGCTACCCTGGTGCTGGAGCTCAGAGGGACTGAGGCTGAGTAGGTGGGTCTGTGTGTAGGTTCTTTAAGAGGACCTGCTTGGGGGCCCAGCATTTTCTCCATTGTCTCAATCCCCACTGGATTTTACAGCCAGAAGTTGTGGGGACTTATCTTCCTGGCACTGGAACTCTGGGCTGGGGTCCTGGTGTGGGGCTGGGACTCCTTGATCTTGAGATATCCCTCCTGAATTTTATCTATCACATGTGGGTGTGGGACCAGCCCATTCTCTGTCTGCACCTCTCCTACAAGTCTGGATGGATGAGGTTTCTTTAATTCTGTAGTTGTCAGACTTCCTTTCACCTCAGTTTCTGACCATTCTGAGTGATGGTTGTTGTACCTTTTGGTTGTAATTTTGATGTGGTTGTGTGAAGTGGCGATCCATGTTGGCCTACGCAGCCTTCTTGTCCAGAAGTTTCTCCTTTGAGATTTCTACTGAGTCATGGTGAGTGGCAATGAACTTTCTCAGCTTCTCTTGCCTGGGCATGTCTTTCTTATTTCTGAAGAACAGGTTTTCTGGATATATACTGTTGGTTTGCACATTTTCGTCTTTTAGTGTTTTCAATATATCACTTCATTTTCTTCTGGCCTTTAAGATTTTTTCACAGAACTTTACCCATACAATATGGGTGTGTTTTTTCTGTGAGAAGTGTTTCTAGTCTCTTTGTGCTTTCAAAATGTCTTTGCTTTGCATTTTTGACATTTTTATTATAATGTGTCTTGGTGAAGTCCTACTCCCATCAACCTGTACAGTTACTTGTGAGAAACCGCAAACTTGATTATTTTCATGTCTTTCAGATTTGGGAAGTCAGTCTTCAGGTTGTTATTTAAAATCAACTTTCTAATTCTCTTTCTCTCACATTTTTTCTCACATCTCCTATTCTGCTATTTTGCTGATGTCACTTATAGAGATCTTTTTGCTTGCTAGAGTCTGTTTTGTGCTCTCTTGTTTTATCATAGTTTTATCATTCATCTCCAGTTTCTTTTTTAGGATTTTTTTTTATCCAAATGCCATGGCATGGCTCCAATGACAGTTAAGGGGAAGAGTCATTTGTGCATCACAGGAGGGGCATGACTTCATCCATTTGGGTGGGCTCAGAAAGGGTTTATGCCTTGGTGAATGGCAGTTGGTGAGGATTTGATGCCAGGGATTTGTTAAGGTCATAACTAGGAACTCATTTATTTAACAGAGTTTTTTACCATTGCTTTCTTACACCTTAATCTACTTGACCTTGTATATTGTTGATACTTTTCTAACTACTCTGTGTTTTGACAGTTATCATTTCTCCTAGGATTCCCAGCCTGTGAATAATTTCCATTTTTCTAAACCCTTCACCCTGGCTGGTGTGGCTCAGTGGATTGAGTGCCCACCTGCAAACAAAAGGGTTGCAGGTTCAATTCCCAGTCTAGGGCACACGCCTGTGTTGCAGGCCAGGTCCCTGGTAGGGGGAGCGCAAGAGGCAACCATACACTGATGTTTTTCTCTCTTCTCCCACCCTTCCCCTCTCTATAAATAAATAAATAAATAAATAAATAAATGCCCTTCACCTCAACCATTTCTCTCCTCACTGCTCTCCATCCTTGATCCATGCATGTAGAGCTTCATAATGTGGGCTGAGTATACCCTCAGTATTCATTTTTATCATTATTTTTTAATTTCTCACCTGAGGCTATGTTTATTTTTTTGAGATAGAGAGAGATGTGATAAAGAAACAACAATCAGTTAATCATTTGGCTTCTGCACATACCCCAACTGGGGATGGAGACCAACCTGCAGCCTTTTTGTTTATGCTCCAACCAAGTGGCCACCTCAGCAAGGACTTGGGTATTCTGTTTCCCCACCCCCTCCCTTTGGAAGATTTTAATATATATATTTTTATTGTATTTTTTCATTACCATTTATTCCCCTTATACTCCCCATTTCCTCCTCCTGCTGTCACCACACTATTGTCTGTTTCCATGAGTCCTTTTTCCTTTTTGCTCAATTTCCCCACCCCGAGAACTGTCACCCTACTCTCTATCTATAAGTCTGGCTCTATGTTGCTTGTTAGTTCACTTTGTTCCTTAGAATCCACATGAGTGAAATCATACGATATTTGTCTTTGAGTAGCTTATTTCACTTAATACAATGTTCTTCAGGTCCATCCATGCTGTCATAAGGGATAAAATTTTTATGGCTGGGTAGTTCCGTTGTGTATATGTACCAGATCTTTTTTTTTTTAACTTTATTTTGTTTAAAGATTTTCCAATTGATTTTTAGAGAGAGGGGGTGGGAGGGAGAACAACACCCAAACCACTCACCCACACCAGTCAGGGCAGCACTTACATATTCTAATATTGTCCTTGAATATCATATGCTCTGATGAAATTGATTTTTGTTTTGAAGAGAAATTCTAATGATTTTATGTGTTTATTCTTAGAGAGAGGAGGAGGGAGAGAGAAACATCAATGTGTGGTAGAAACATCAGTTGGTTGCCTTTTCAATGTGCCTCAACTTGGGACTGCATCTGCAACCCAAACATCTATTCTGAGCAGGAATGGAACTGGCAACATTTTGCTGTGCATGATGACACCAAACCAACTTTGCTAGACTAGCCAGGGCTGTGATTGGTTTTTATGGGTTCACGCACATTCAAATTCTTCTACACAGCCTGTCATTACCAGAAGGAAAGGTCCTATTTTCCCAATTAAGGAAAAACTAGTAGGCCCTACCTCCTGTCCTCCTGTCTTTGTTTTACATTCTATGCTTGTATCTTTTTTGGTGAGCTCTCCACCATTTATTGACCTTTGGGGCCAGCCAATGTATAACAGCCCTTTCCTCAGTGTAACTCATTGTCTTGAAAATCATTCCATAGGATCATGCCTAGCTGTGACAGATGAACATTTGTGACTATAATACTCCTTCAGGATATGGTTAGCATACATTTCAAAAGTATTTTCTTTTTGTCAGGTTGCTGCTGTGGAGCAGAGGATGTGGAGGCACCCACTGAACAGAACCTTTCTACACAAGCATCACAGGAAAAGAATCTTAAGATAGCTTTGCCTTCCCAGAAGGGCCACCCCTGTGAGAGCTGTGGGCTGGTCTTGAGAGATATTTTCCTCTTGGTTGACCAGCAGGGAATGGAAGATAGCCAGAAACTGTTGAGATGTGGAGCCTGTAAAAAACTATTTTATTTCAGAGCAAAGCATCACCAGGAGCAGTATATGAGAGAAAAGCCATCCATACGAGGTGGGGACAGAGCCTCCCTTGTGAAGGGCAGCAATTTTAATGTGTCCCAAAAGCTTTTTACTTGTGGGGAGGTTGGGCAGAATGTTTTTACCAGATCAGGACATGTCCAACAACAGGCTACTTACCCCAGGGACAAGCCAAAAGAAATGGCAGCATCTGAGGAGGGTTTTCACAGGAGAAAACATCACACAGGCAAGGAATGTAAGAAAGCCATTGGCTGCAAACGTCCACTTGATCCAGATCAAGCTGTCAAAACTGGAAGACAGTGTTTTGTGTGCCATGAATGTGAAAAATGTTCTCTAGAAATCTCTGGGCGTCATTATCAACAGAAAGTTCACACAGGAGAAAAGCCATATAAGTGCAGTGAATGTGGAAAAAGCTTAGTTCATTTAGGAGAAAGGCCTTATAGGTGTGGTGAATGTGGAAAATGTTTTAAACAAAGTTCAAGCCTCATTATACACCAGAGAGTCCATACTGGAGAGAAGCCTTATGAGTGTGACAAATGTGGGAAATCCTTTAGCCAATGGGGAAGCCTCATTCAACACCAAAGGATTCACACTGGAGAAAAGCCATATCAGTGCACTGAATGTGGGAAATATTTTACCAGAATGTCTGGCCTTCATCGTCATCAAAGACTTCACACTGGAGAAAGGCCTTATGAGTGCAGTGAATGTGGAAAATCTTTTAAGAGGAAATGGCACTTTCTTTGTCATCAATATACTCACACGGAAGAAAGGCCTTATGAGTGCGATGAATGTGGGAAGTGTTTTAAGAGTAAATGGCACGTTCGTTGTCATCAGAAACTTCACACTGGAGAAAAGCCTTATCAGTGCAGTGAATGTGGGAAATCTTTCATTGTAAATTCTGCCCTCCTGTATCATCAGAGAGTTCACACTGAAGAGAAGCGTTATAAGTGCAATGAATGTGGAAAATCATTTATTTGGAGCTCTAGCCTTCTTTATCATCAGAGGGTTCACACTGGAGAAAGGCCTTATAAGTGCAGTGAATGTGGGAAATCTTTTAATAGGAAATATCCGTTCCGTTGTCATCAGAGAGTTCACAATGGAAAAAGGCCTTAGGAGTGCAGTTAAAGTGGAACACCTTATACCACTAGCCATGGCTTCTGTTCCCATCAGAGGTTTTGCACTAAAGAAAGGCATTAAAAGTGCACTGAATATAGGAAATCTTTTTTCATCAGCAGTAATGTTCACTATTCTCAGAAAGCTCCCAGAGGAGAAAGGTCATATTAGCTTAGTGAATGTGGGAAATCTTTTATCAGAATCTCTGACCTTTGTTGTCATACCAGACAAAGAACTTTTAAAAACAAATTGTTCACCTATGAGTATGTTTATTCTTTTAGAGAAAATGAAAAGGACAGAGATAAAATGATGTGAGACCAAAACATCAATTGGTTGCCTCTCCTACATGCCCCAATGAGGGAATGAACCTGGGCACTGGGCAAGTGTCCTGACTCACCATCAAACCACCGACCTTTTCTTTGCAGGATGATTCCCAACCAACTGAGCCACAGTGGTCAGGACCACCTCAAGTACTTCTGACAGCAGCATGAATTTTTCCCTTGTGAATGGGGTATGCCAATAATTTTGAAGGGAATCACTTTCAAGAGTTTTTCAAAGGTCCATGTGTTATAACATCTATAATTACATAAGTTAAGTGATAGTCTCTGAGTTGTATGACCAAAGGAGTTAGGGTAAACCATGATTATTACAGAATCACGTGCATAAAAAAGATTTGGGAAGACTGCAGCCAGCTATACTCAATGTGCTGCTTCTAGACCTGTCCAGAAATATTTCTGTGAAAAAGACTGCAGAGTCGGTGTGTACACAAATCTGAGGATCTCCAAGCATGTTTGTCTTCTAGTCCAAGTCACTGTCATTGAAAATTAATAGTTTTGTGGATTTATGTACCCTGCCATATGTTTACCTGAAGACCACTGATGTCTACACAGAAAAATTAAAGATGGAGAAAAGTGGTATCTTGTCCAGTGGTGTGGCTTTTGTGATTCATCTAGCATTTCTGCTGATTTGGTTGAAAGTCATTCATTGATTGGCATATTGGCTATAACTAAGGCAAGAGTGACCCTGGAGGGCATGAGAACATGGGTTGAATATAGAGTTGTCAAATCTATTATCCAGAACGTTGGACAGGCAGTATTTTTGTTATATTGAAGCATTTTTGAAATGTTTTAATTAGCAAATAGTGTATTTGAATGAGAATATGTGATGGAATTTTACATATGTATTAAGCTGAAACCCTCACCATAATTATAATGCTAACCATATCTGTTTCTGTGTATTTACCTCACGTCCTTTTATAACCACTCTCCCTGCCCTTCACAATTCTCTAATTGACCATTGCTTTACTTTTCCCTTTAATGGGTAACTTTGCATTCCCTGGAATTTATATGATGAGAATAAAAGTTTTTGTTTTAATTTATGGTGCATAAATACTTGAAGATTTATTTTGATATGTTTGTAACTCATCTTTTTTTCTGCAATATTTTTGTCTTTGAATTTGTCAACATTTGTTTATTCATTTGTTCATGGACATTGGGTTATTTCTAATTTTTGATTATTTAAAATAAAGCTGGGACAAACATTTGCGTGTAATTCTTGCTCTTCCTCATCTCCTTCTGCAATCTCTATAATTCGGATGTTGGCATGTTTGGAGATGTCCCAGAGTCGTCTTGTACACTCTTTGTCGTTTTTTTTTTTAATTCTTGTTTATTATTTCTGTTCTAGTTGAATGTTTTCTTCTTCCTTGTCTTCCAAATTGTTTATTTGAATCCCAGCTTCCTTCCCTCCACTGTTGGTTTCTTGTCAACTTTCTTTTATTTCACTTAGTGTAGCCTTCATTTCTTCCTTTATGTTTTTGTAATACTCAGTGAGTTCTCTGAGCATCCTGATCACCAGTGTTTTGAACTACATCTCATAGGTTGTCTCTCTCTGTTTTGTTTAGTTGTTTCTCTGCAGTTTTGTTCTCTTCTTTCATTTGGGCCATATTTCTCTGTCTCCTCAATTTGGCAGCCTCCCTGAATTTGTTGCTGTGTGTTAGGTAGAGCTGGTTTGATGCCCTGTCTTAGCACACCTGTTAAGTTGTATGGGCGAAACCTTAGGTGTTTGCCAGAGTAGGGCAACCCACTTCACTTTGTGGCTCTGTGTGTGGAGGAGGAGTCGGGAAGGGCACAATGCTGCTGCTTAGCTTCTGGAGGCTTGTCTGGCACTTGCTATGTCTTCAGTCATTTCACCCACTTCCTGTCTGTGACTGGCATCCTTTTAGTTGTGTCCCGGTGGTGGTTCCCAGAGTGGGTGGGCTTGCGTATGTTCTAAGTCTGTGGGCTGGGCCCTTTAAATGAACTCCCCTGAGAAACTGACAGTTTCTTCCACCACCCCAACCCCCAAAGGTTTTTTAAGCCAGAAATTATGAGGCTTTATTTTGCTGGCACTGAAGCCTGGGCTGCACTGTCTGGCCTGGTGTTGGGATCACTTGTTCCCAAGGTATCCTTCCCAATTTTTATCCACCACACATGAACGTGAGACTGCATTCTGACCCTGGTGCTGCATCTCCAATGCCACACCACATCCTTTCCTCCCAAGCTTTTTCCCTCTTACACATGTAGATGAATATGGCTTCTTCAGATACTTGGTTGTTGACTTATATACAGTTTGATTTTCCTGCAGTTCTGGGTGATTTTTTGTGTTAAAGTTAGTTGTGGTTCTTATGGTTGTGTGAGAAGGCACAGTGTGTCTACTTACAACTCCATCTTGACTGGGAGTCCCAGGCTGCATGGATTTAAAAACTGAAGCTCCACCCTGTCTGGTGTGGCTCAGGGAATTGAGTGCCAGCTTGTGAACCAAAGGGTTGCCAGTTCAATTCCCAATCAGGACACATGCCTGGGCTCTGGGCCAGGTCTTCAGTAGGAGCTCATGAGAGGCAACCACACATTGATGTTTCTCTCTCCCTCTCCTTCCCTTAACCTCTCTCTACAAATAAATATATAAAATAGATTTTAAAAACCCTGAAGCTCCATGCCATCATTGGGCTTAAGTTTCTTTTACTTTCTCCTCCTCGTCCTTGTTCAAGCAAAAGGAGCCATCAGGCAGGCTATTGGTTACTATGACCTGCTTGTTGGGGTCATTGAGGATGTGGTAATTGCCCTCTTCTAATTCATGCTGATGTCCATGCAGCGCAAGATGTGCCAGGTGTTGCCCTCGCTGGTGTAGCTCAGTGGATTGAGCATGGGCTGCAAACCAAAGGGTCACTTGTTTGATTCCCAGTCGGCATATGCCTGGGTTGCAGGCCAGGTCTCCAGTGGGGGCCATGTGAGAGGTAACCACACATTGATGTTTCTCTACCTCTTTCTCCCTCCTCCACTTTCAAAAAATAAATAAATAAAATCTTAAAAAAAAAAAAAAAAGATGTGCCTGGTGTTCTCTATGCTCAGGCTGATGTGGTTGGGAAACTCATTCGACTTTAACTGCTGGGTGCCCAGGATGACATGATACAAGGGGTCATTCACATGGTTTTGGGACATGTAAGCAAGCCTACTGACTCAAATCCAGCCAGCAAACCACAGAAACCCCATTGAGCCAGCTTGTAGCTATTGTTCTTCAACTTTATGGCAAGGACAGCCCCTGACTGAGAGTCCAGTCTATGCCACACAGTGCATGGAGTGTCACTTTGTTGAGGGTGCTAATGTTGATGAAGGACACTTCCCCATGGGCTGTGCAACAATGGAAAATTAGGGCCTGAGTGTTTCCAAGCTTCTACCTACAAGACTAGTTTTCAACAGAGGTTATTTCTTTCTTACCCATGTCATCCTCTACAAATGGGTTTGGGTTGGTTCTTCATCTTCAGGCGCTGCTGGGAGAAGCTGTGATTCATGTAGGTTGACTCCATGGCCAGGTTTCAGTCTTACAAAGGGGCTCTTTGGTAGTCTCATTGTCAGGAGGTCAAAGTCAAAATTGTGGCCACTGTCAAAGAAGAGCTTGGACCTGACATGTCCAGGAAATACAGGGAGTGGGCACAGCTCATCAGTGTGCACAACATGGTATTGGTGGCCAACACATTGCTCTAGATATTACAAGTTTCAGATGACAGGGTCAACTGTGGTGGTGAATATGTGGCAGATGCTCTTGAAGCTCCACAGGGGCTTGTTGCTCTTTCTGGGGATGCGGTCAAAGCCTTTATCATAGTATTGTAGGGCCATGCATCACTGATTGTCCTGTGGCTCTGACACAAGATGCTTCAGGTAGAGCACCTTCATTAACAGAAAAGTCCATTTCTCTTCCTGCTCCCAGTCTTTAAACAAACTTCAGAGACTCATGGTTTCTCTTATTTTCATTTGGTTCTCAATCTAAATTGTCCCTGGAATTGTTTTTTCCACAGATGTGTACATTCACTCTCTCTGCTTGGCCCTCTCAGGCAGGGTCTGCAGATCTTTGAATTTGCAGAGGTTCATCCATGCTAATCACATTAGATTCTGCTGGTAGGTTGTCTTCTGTGAGTACATTGTGTCCACCAACTGGAAACAGTTTCATCTTCCTAAAAAATGTAAGCGTACCAATTTCCACCACCAAAGTGAGAGTACTCATTCATGTCCTTCTTGACTTGATATGTGGCACCCTTTCAGACTGCAAACTTTGTGATCCTTTCTCCTTTGTTGAATGTGTGGTAAGGCATATTTTGAAAATGCACAAAGGGCTGTCCTGGATCAAGGGTGTCATACACTTTTCTATCTTATAAAACCTGCAAGGATCTCGGCCAGCCCATACAGCAAATGATGGTTAGAGACGGAGACCTCGACACTAGCTGCTATCTGAAGAACGAAGGGAAGGTACTTTAAAATTTTAAGTAAAAGAGAACTTCTTACAGGATTACTATTGATTTTTAATTAAAAAATTATTTATTGATGTCAGAGAGAGATGATGGGACAGAAAATAGGGAAACATCAGTTTGTTGTTCCACTTCTGCATGCATTCATTGGTTAATTCTTCTATATTCCCTGATTGTGGATTGAACCCACAACTTTGGAGTACCTAGACAATGCTCTAAGTACCTGAGCTACCCAGGCAAGGCTGGTTTTTAATTTTTATTGCATTTACACATACCCATAATAGATAATTAAGATATTTCATGTGATGTAAAAAAGATGGTGATCTATGCATAGGTCAAAATTCGGTATGAATTTGTACTTCTTCACTTACTATAAGTGTAATTTGTGAATATGTTTCTAATCTTATCACACTGACAATGCCATATATATGATCTCTACTATAAATCTTTAAATATGTCTGTTACTCAGAAGGTGTCTGTTATTATGGTAATTATAATAGCATTGTCACAGTAACAAAAATACCAAAACTTTGTCAAAATTCAGTTTTCTCAGTTTTTCAAAATTAATTTTTCTCAATTGAAATTTAAATTATAAACAGTTTGTGTTTATATTATGCATTTTAGATTTTTTATTTCACAAGTCTCTCCTACATTCTTGTGTTATGTTTTTCAAATGTATGATGGTGTAACTAGATCTTTGCCTAGTAACATTTCCCAGATTCTTGAATTTGAGCATACCACCCTTTATTGTGGTATTGAGTTTCACAGACAATGTCTTTTCATCAACCTGAAGACAAGACTCTCCTGCTGCAAAAAGATTGCATGTAATTCATTGAAGAATAGTTGTTGCATTTTTTAGTAACAAGTATTCTAATTGAGGTATGTACAATATTATTTTTGAGATAATGCTATGGCACAGTGAGTATACTACAGTAGTTTATTGTGTAACCGTAAATTTTATATGCACTGCAAAACCAACAAATTCATGTGAGTAGCTTTGTGGGCATATTTGATTGATTGGTCTGGAACCGAACATGCACTGTTTTGGAGGAATGCTTGTACTTATATGTATTTGATGTCCACAATATGTTCTCCATTGTTTGCAATAAATGTATAATTTGAGCCAGAGGATTCAGCTCAAACCCAACTTGAGTCTAGCCACACTGCTGCACAGGCAGACCTGAGAGACTTCTCATTACATCAAGAATACATGCTGTGAAGTATTAGTGTCTGTTTTGTGACATTAGCTGCATAGTGAGCCCAACTGGTGCAGGATAAACAGCATTAGGGACTTCAGCCACTCCCCCCCAAAGACAGTCTGCCTGAAGGCCCTGGATGCCAGGTGACCTGATCAGCAAGAAAAGGATGCCCGAAGGTTAGAGAGAGCAAATCCTTCAGAAAGCTATGCAAAACCAGCAGTTAAAGGAAGCCATCCATGTTCACCAGAGACAAACTTGCCCTAGAAATAACTCCCCTGGGGACACTAGATCACACTTAATATTTTCACTGTATTCTTGTGATACGTGCACCAAAACTCACAGTGGGTAAGCTTCAAAACCAGGCTGGAAGCCAGACCCAGTCTTAACCTTCTATGCCAATTTCTTTCTTACACTTTTGTTATCTGGAAACAAACCCAAATAAATATCCCTAGCCCTTACTTCAGCCATCATTCAGTGGTGGATAAGCCACACTCCCTTGTCCAAAAAGTACAGTATTTCTAATAAACTTTTGCTCCTCATGCTCCTGCAGAAGGAACTCTGGGCTGTGCATTTGCCCCACTCCCTTCATTCCTCAGGGGTTGCTCTGTCTGCACATGTGGACTGTGTACAGTTTGCTTTTCCAGATTTCTGGGTAGGTCTTGTACTTGGCAGGCCTGCTTTTTTGGCACTGCCCCCTTTTCTCCCTGCTGCCCCAATACCTGCTGTACTGAACTCTTAGGGAAGGATTTGACCTCAGTGGTATTGCTGGAAACCTAATAGATTTCACATTGATTAGTGAGGAAACCCATTTTTTATATTCCTCTTGATCATTTCTACATCAGAGGTATGTTTATGGATTGTTAGAGAGAAGAATAGAGGGAGGGAGAAAGAGAGAATGAGAGGGAGAAAAATGTCAATGTGAGAGAGAAGTATTTGCTGTCAGTTGCCTGCCATCTGCACCCAAACCGGGGATCGAACTTGCAACCTAGGTATGTGCCCCGACCAGGAATCAAACCTGTAACCTTTTGGTTCGCAGGACAATGATCCTTAGATCATTAACTGATCTAATGATTAACTGAGTCACCCGGCCATGGCTGGATAAAATATTCTGTATATGTTTATTAGTTGTATTTTGTCTAAAGAGTACTCAAACTTCAATAATTACTTAATCCTTTTGAACAGGATGAGCTATCTATTTTTGAAAGAGGAATATTTGTCTAGTACTGTTGCGTTGCAGTTTCTGCTTTCAGATCTCATATTGTTTGCTTAATGTTCTTAGGTGCTTTATGGTGGGGTACATAGTAATTAAAATTGTTATCCTCTAATTGACTTCTTTATCATTTTAGGATGACCTATTCCCCTTTTGACAGTGTTTGAGGTTGTCTGTTTTGTGTGATACATTTTAGCTACTCCTGTTCTCTTTGGTTATATTTGCATGAAATATTTATTACATCTCTTTGTTTTCAGCTTATTTCTGTTCATGAAGATTCGGTGAGACTCTTGGAAGCACCATATATTGTGTCTTGTGAAGATTTTTGCAGGGGGTGGGGTGAGTGAGAAGTGCCAGGGAGACAAAAGCAAAGCCTAAGCAGGCTTTTCCAGTAGTTCTATCCTCAACTTATTTATTTTTATAAATAAATATTTTTATTTTTATTTTTATTTTTTAAAGCTTTCATTGATTTTATTTATTTATTTTTAGAAAGAGGGGGAGGGAGGGAGAAAGGGAGGGAGAGAAACATCAATGTGTGGTTGCCTCTCACGTGGCTTACCTGCAAACCAGGCATGTGCCCTAACTGGGAATTGAGCTAGCAACCCTTTGGTTCACAGCCCAAGCTCAATCCACTGAGCTACACCACCAGTAAATAAATATTTTTAAATTAAAGTTGCCATGCATTTTGATATTAGTTTCATGTGTACACCCCAGTGATTAGACATTATAATTATAATATAACTTACTAAGTGATCTTTCTGATAAATCTAGCCATATATAGATATTAGACACCATACATAGGTTTTAGAATGTTATTGACTCTGTTTCCTAGACTGTACTTTACGTCCTCATGGCTATTCTGTCACTGTCAATGTGTACTTCTTGATCCCTTCACCTTTTTCACCGCCATGAAAATTTTTTAAATGTTTATTTGAGCCAAACTGATGTCAATGGCCAGGAAGCAAGATCTCAAATGCTTTCGTGTCTCTGCTGTGGTTGTTATTCATGGTTTGGGGCACATTCACATTCCTCTACAAAGCCTAACATCCTGCCTCTCTTCCTTGTGTCCTGTCCTATCCTAGTGTTTTTTGTTTAATGAGGTGCCCCTTACTTACTGACCTTAGTGGCCTGTAATGTACAGCAATGTTTTCTAAGTCTATCTTAGTTGCCTTGAAAATCATCCCATTGAATCATAACTAGATGTGACAGACAAAAATTTGTTATGAGGATACCCCTTCCCAATAGGTCAATATGTACTTCACCAGGGGTTTCTTTTGTTCAGGTTTCTGCTGTGGAGCAGAAGACATGGAAGCATCCATTGAACAGAACATTTCTCTAAGAGTGTTGCCGTCAAAGAATATTACGGCACCTGTGTCTTCTCAGAACTCCAAGCCCTGTAAGAATTGTGGGCCAGTCTTGAGAGATATTTTCCTATTAGCTGACCAGAAGGGAACAGAACAGAGGCCCACACTGCTAAGGTGTGGGGCATGTGGTAAACATTTTTATTTTAGTGCAAAGTGTCACCAGCACACAACAAAGAATTGTGTCATAGTAGCATGCACTCTCATAATTTCTTGTTTATTATAATATTTCTTGTGATGTAAAGAAATTCTCAGCTCAGCATTCCTCAACTTTCATTATGAATATGTACTTCTTTATTTATTCTAAATATAATTCCTGAATATGTCCCTAATCTTACTGCAGTGACAATGCCATCCTTATCATCATCTCACCTATAAATTATTAACTACATCTGTAACTCACAAGTTCTATTTCATTATGATAATTACAATAGCATTTTTATACCAACAAAAATACAAATAACTTTGTCAGAATTCAAGTCTCCCACTTTTTCAAACATTAGTTTTTAAATTGATATTTAAATTATAAATATATAGCCTTTCATTTATGTTTATATTATGCATTCTTTCATTTTAACAGTTAGTTTTACATTCTTGTGTTACACTTATGGCATGTATGATTGTGCACCAAGACATTCGTTTAAAAATTTTCGTTCTCCAATGGGAATATATCTCCCTGTATTGAGCTGTGCTTTATTGAGCTTCAGAGATAATGCACATTCAACAATACAAAGGCAAGACCTTCCACCTGCAAAAAGATTGTATGCAACTCAATGAAGGCTCAGGTGATGGTTTGTATTCTTAATTAATAAAATTTTAAAATCAAGGTGTATATTGTTACTTTTTGCAGTGCCATAGCACACTTAATAGACTACAGTAGTGTATAGGGTAAACATAAATTTTTAAAAAGTTTAGAAATATGGTATTTTAAAAATACTCATTTGATACGTTCAGTGATTTTTAGAGCAAGGGGAATGGAGAGAAAGAGAAAAGTTGATCTGAGAAATATACGGTAAATTGGTTGCCTCCAGCATATGTCCTTACTGAGGATCAAACTCAATCTAGGTATGTGCCCGAACCTGAAATCAAAATGCCGATGTTTTTTGGTGCATGGGACCACGCTCCAAACAACAAGGCCACCAGACCAGGGCTCTCCTCATCAGGGTTCTCTGTGTATTCTTGCGGTGTATGTCCCATAATCCACATCCGGAGTCAGCTGGAGAAATACAGATACCAGGCCTTGGAGGGTAAGAACTACATTACCCAGAAGGCCAGGGGTGGAATGCCGCCACAGGGAGCCAATGGAGACTCAAAAAAAGGCATTTCCGGTTGGGCACTGATGGAGGACTAGACTTCGGTGGTTCTCTAGACGGGCATTTCCTTTACTCTCAGTTTCCTTATTACCACGGTGAGGATCTCGTGGTCAGGGAGTCGAATGTAGAAGACGTGAGAATGGTGGTCACACTAAGTGTGAAGCTCGGCCGTTCCGCTTCGGTGACCAGCGTCAGAGCGGGGACAGAGTTCGTCTTGCCCCGGGGACCACTGTTTTCTGCTGCTCCGGCCCGGCTCAGCCCACGGAGTTTGATGGCGGCGCCCGCGCTGAGGCGCCCAGCTGAGGTGAACGCGCGTCCCCCAACCCTCCCCCTCAGCCCACCGAGCCCTGCAGCCCAGGCCGCGGCGTCTGGGAGCGCCAGGCGCTCACGGGTGACACACGGTGTGACGGGAGTAGGGAGAGGGTGACGGGCTGAGGGGCCAGGGGCGGTTTTCTCACTAAACCTCCAACACACCGGGGTGATCCTTCCTGCCCTGGACGTTCCTAAAATTTCCCGTGTCAGACAACCTTTAGGTCCTTGACTGGCCCAGGAAGGTTTGAAGGACAAATCGGGTTGAGACTAAAGCAAGTTTTATTTTGGTAGAAAAAAAAAAGAGGCCAGTGTGGGAGCCACTGTGAAGGAAGCAAAACCAGTGTTTCTGAGTAGATGCGCGCCAACTGGAGAGACTGGAGCGAGTGCTGAGATAGTTCTTGGACTTTTATGTTTCCAAGGGTGAGGGCCTCTGTCGCCAAGCTTTTTGGTGCCAAATTCTGAGCCTTCTGTTTGGGAGTGGGGCTTGTTCTGATTCCTGTGATTGCCGCGGGCTTCCTGCCATTAAGTGTTTCCCTTTGTGCGGAGAGGTTGGGGCTCAGATTAAAGGATGTGGGATTTTACCACCAGTGGTGAGGATTTTTCTCTTAAATTCGTTCTGTCCTGTTTCAGTTGTTCTGGAGCATTTTGAAATATCTGAGCACTCTCTGGAAGCCACATGCTAAGTTCATGGGTAATTTCAGAGAGATGCCTGTGGTGTGGAGCAGGAGGTGATAGAGCTGAGGGAGTGAACCTGGGTGTGAAGCTGTGAGGGAGGAAGAAATCACACAGTGTGTGTGCACAGCCAGAGGTAGTGTGAGCACCTGGGTACCAGGTGTAGGGACGTAAGGGTGAAGTATAAGCCCATGTTTGGCTGAGTGTTGGAGGCATGAGCTGGGAGACTTAGTGAAATTGTTGGGCAGGAAGGTTGGAGCTCTGCAGGCATGGCCTGGAATTTAGATGCTATTTGTCTGCTGCACATCACATCACTGCTGATGTTGCTGAGGGCAATCACAGTGATTCTTGGGATCATGAGCAGATAGTGTCACTGGTACCGGGGCCTGGTGTTGTTACTGGACACCGGCCTTGGCCTGAGCAGGTTTGCCTAGGGTCAGTTGGTAATGTGTGAGTTCTTCAGTTTGTGTAGGAAAGGTTTCACATAACACAAGATCAGGTGACTATGAGGATACACTGATTAAACCTGGGGACAGTAAAACAAGGAAGGGCTTAGCACAAAAAAAGCAAAAGGAGAGCCTATATGGGGCTGCCACAGCTCACTAGGAAGTCAGAGAAAAGGAGGCTTTGAGGATAGGTTCAGGGAACCTGCCTGGGACAAGCTGCCAGTTGCCCATTGCCTTAGAGTTTAGGAGATGTTTGCCTTGAAATAAGTAGGAGGGGGGAAGGAAATGGTGCTGGTTGCTCCTCAGAGGGAGAAGACACACACTGGTCATTTGTCTTGAGGCTTTTCTCTCTTCTTGGAGGAGGGAATCTTAGCAAAGGTCTTGGGAGAGCTTCAGTAAAATATTCACCAGTTTTCCAGGTATGCTCTCTTAGGGTCATGGTCACCGCTGATTGGTCAGTGACACAGCAAGGGGTCTTTAGTCACTACAGTTGGTCCTGGCATTACACACCTGGTTTTGCTGCTTTTCTGGGCCTGGAGCTGAAATATGGAAGCCTAGATGTTATCTCCAGGGAGGAAAGGCCAGGGGAGAAGAGGTTACCCTGGGGGTGAGGTCCTTGTTTTCGCAGATTTGCCCCTGTCAGGCACTTCTGGTGACAGTCTTCACTGGCTGTAAATTACTTGGCCGTTGTGTTCAGCTTTCTGTCTCAGTCTCTCTATTCCATGTGCCAAGAAACTTTCCTAGCTTCTCAGTATACTGTCTCAGTATCTTGTGGCAGGGGCAGCAATGGAGGATGGTGAATATGGGGAAGATGTGTGAATAGTAGTAGGATTGTGAGTTCTCAGAGACACAATGTTCTTGTTTCTTTTTTATTCATCCTAATAGGTTGGTTTTACCTTTGAGGACATTGCTGTGTACTTCTCTCAAGAGGAATGGCACCTCCTTGATGAGGTTCAGAGACGCCTGTACCTGGATGTGATGCTGGAGAACTTTGCTCTTATATCCTCACTGGGTAAGATACATACCCCTAGGCTACACAGTGACCTGGAGTAGGCTTTGTAGTTTCCATGCCCCATTTCTTCAGGGTGTGTTCTTTCCTCACATATGGACTATGGGTACTGCTCGCTTCCCTGATTTTGGGGGTAGATGTTGTTTTTAGCAGGGTTGGTTTGTTAGCACTGCCCTGTTCTCTCCCTGCAGCCCCAATACCTGCTGTACTGAATCCTCATAGGGAAGTATTTGTGGTTGCTGGTCTTGCAAAGAGCCAAATGGATTCCACCTTGGTTAGTGAGAAAAAGAATATTTTATATTCCTCATGGTCATTTTTATATGTTCTTTTGAAAAACATCTATGCATTCTAAGTCCTTCTTTAATTGTAATTTTTTGCGCCCTGGCTGGCGTAGCTCAGTGGATTGAGTGCAGGCTGGGAACCAAAGTGTCCCAGGTTCGATTCCCAGCCAGGGTACATGCCTGGGTTGCAGGCCATAACCCCCAGCAACCGCACATTGATGTTTCTTTCTCTATCTCCCTCCCTTCCCTCTCTAAAAAGTAAATAAATAAAATATTTTTTAAAAATTGTAATTTTCTTTTGCTAATGAATCTTTTTAATATCTTGTATATTTTATATATCAATTCCTTATCAGATATATCTTTTTGCATTTACTTAATTTTACTTCACAGATATTACATTTTTACAAATTTGGTTTATGGAAACTCTCAGCAGATCTATTGAGGCCATTTTTTGAGCAGTCATAGTATATGGTTAGTGTTTTTTAGTGATAAAGTATTTTTAATTTTTATGTACACTTTTGCAGACATAAATCTATTGAGCTATTAGGAGACTAGAATATAATGTAAACACAGCTTTATTATTCACTGGATATCAAAAATTTTATGTGACTCCTTACATGTGATACTCATTTTATTGTGGAGGTCTGACCTGAACCTATACTTCCAAGGGATAATTGTATGTTGTTTGCAAGTGTTTTCTACCATCCTCTAGATTGTATTTTTGTTTCATTCATTTTTTGTTTTGCTGTGCAGAAGCTTTTTCATTAGTTGTAGTTTAGATTTTTTTATTTTTATTTTTGTTTCCTGTGTTTTGGGATCATATCCAGAAAATCAGTGCTGACAACAATTTCACAGAGCTTTTTTCTCTAGATTGTCGTCTATGAGCTTTACATTTTTAGCTCTTGTATTTAATTTTTAATCCATTTGGAGTTAATTGTTATTAGTGGTATAATACTCAGTTTTCCTAACAGGCTTCATTATAAAGACTATGCTTTTTTCCATATATGTTCTCCCAGTTTTTATCAAAGATTACTTGATTATATGTGCTTGGGTTTATTTTTGCATTCTCTATACAGGGCTATTGGTTTATGTTTCCGTGTTCTTGCTAGTAACACCCTGTTTGGTTGCTGTAATGTAATAGAGTGAAATGAGAAAACTTGTTACCACCAGCGTTGTTCTTCCTGTTGAATATTGCTGTGGCTACTGAAGGTCTTCTGAGGTTGCATACATTTCAGAACTTATATTCTATTTCTGTGTGAAATACCATTACAGTTCTGATTGGATTGCATTAAATCAGTAGTAAATACATTTTAACAATATTAGTTCTTGGAATTTAAGAATGAATAATATCTTCCTATTTGTGGGGAGGCTCCGCCTGCAGGGCCTCCCTGGCCACCACAGATGAGAATAAGTCTACCAAGACATCTGCTTGGGGAGAAAGGGTGGCCAATCTCTCAAAGGAGAAGGGCTAGGAGGCTGATCCTCAATGGCCTTTTATTGTGTTCATTTACACAAAAATTCAGGTAAGGCTCATTAACCATTGCCAGGCAGTGAGGATCAAACAATGGATAACAAAGAAGTCTGAGGGCCTATTTTGAGTCAGGATCAGATAGCTAAAGAGCTGTGAAACTTTGAGGAACACACTTACTTCTTGCTTGGACCCTTATCATTTAATTGAGGGCATTCTAAACAAAGCAGGTTTCACAGGATTTTACATATTGTTTCTTAGGCCTAATCGCCTGGGGGAACCCGCTCTTTCCAGCACAGGGCTGTACCACCCTCTCTCATTGTTTCAGGCTTAGGTGGAGCAAGGGAAGTAAGGCAGCCAAGAGATTAGGAGATTTCTCTCAGACAGTGAGGACTCAAGCTTTGTCAACATTGAGGGGTGAGGGTCCATCACCCCCTTTTGCTGTAGCCCCCAAAGTCCTTCCTTGGGGGCCTCCCACGTGATCATGCCTGTGTTAGGTCTTTTCCCCCTTGGGGAATCTTACCCATGATTGGCTAACTGACCAAGCATTGGGGGCCAGGCAGGGTGAAGTAAAAGGAGCAGAAGCGTGCTCCTGCCAGGGAGATAAGCTTTTGTCTCCTTGGTGGGTTACAGCCCAAGGTCGCTCCCTCAACCTTAGACTTGATGGGGGTCACAGCTTCTGAAACCAGGCAGGGCGGTTCCCAACATCACTTCTGTGTTCTTGCTAGTAACACACTGTTTGGTTGCTATAATGTAATAGAGTGAAATGAGAGAACTTGTTGCCAACAGCTTTGTTCTTCCTGCGAAAGATTGCCATGACTACTGAAGGTCTTCTGAGGTTGCATACATTTCAGAATTTATATTCTATTTCTGTGTGAAATGCCAGTACAGTTCTGATTGGATTGCACTAAATCAGTAGTAAATACATTTTAACAATATTAGTTCTTGGAATTTAAGAATAAATAATGTCTTCCGATTTATTTGTGTTTTTTTTTCATCTCTTTTGTCAGTCTTACAGTGTTTAATGTACAGATCTCTCACTTTTTTGGGTAAATTTATTCCTGGGTATTTTATGGCTTTTCAAGCTATTATAATGGAGATTGCTTTCTTAATTTCTCTGTCAGATCTTATTGTTATATCTCTTATATTGTATAGAAATGGAGCTGATTTGCATGTCGATTGTGTATCCTGTCAGTTTACTTAATTTGTTCATTAGTTTTTGAAGTTCATGGTGGAATCTAAATGATATTATGTATATGAGGTTATATCACAGGGACGTTAAACTCATTTTCACTGGGGGCCACATCAGCCTTGCAGTTGCCTTCAAAGGGCCAAATGTAATTTGAGGACTGTATAAATGTAACTACTCCTTAACTGTTAAGGGAGAGCTCAGTACTGCCACAGGGTAGAAACAAGGTGCGGGGCCAGATAAAACAAGGTGGAGGGCCGGAATCAACCCATGGGCCTTGTGTTTTCCACCTGTGTTATATCACCTGCAGGCATCTCAGGATCCTTCATGGTTTGTAGTATCAGGTATAATGTGTAATCTCTCATTAAGATTTGCCAATTTTCTGTATCTTTTTTTAAAAATGGGTAATCATTTTGTTCTTTTGTTATTATTTTCTGTATTTTAGCTCTTAGAACTGTTTGTTCTGTACCTCAGGCATAGTGGTTGGTAGCCTGTGTTTCCACTCACATTTGCCTCTGGATGTATTTGAATTCTTTTGTTTTTTTTTCTTTGACTTGTTAATTTTTTAGGAGTCTGTTTAATTTCTACATGTTTGTGAATTTTTCACCTTTTTTGCAACTAAAATTTATTTCTACATTCATACCATTGCAACCAGAAAAGTTCCCTGATCTAACATCATCTACTTAGATGATATTCCCTATATACTTAAAAGGAATGTGTAATCTGCTGCATTTGGATGTAATGTTTTATCTATTTCTATTGCCTTTCTCGAAAGTATAGTTAAACTTCAGTAGTTTCTTGATTGTTTTTCAGTTGGTATGATTTACCTATTGTTGAAAAGGGAGTACTGAAGTTCTTAACTGCTTTGGGTTGCATTTTCCGCCTTCAGGTCTGACAATATTTAAAAAAAATTCTTAGGTGTTCTAATCTTGGGCGCATAACATTTATTTTTTTAATTTATTGATTTTACAGAGTGAGAGAGAGAAACAGTGATTTGTTGTTCCACTCATTTATGTACTTATTGTTTGATTCTTGTATGTATACTGACTGGGGATCAAGCCCACAATCTTGGCATGTTAGGACAGTGCTCTAAACATTGGGTACATATTTAAAATTGCTATATCCACTTGATGAATTGACTTTTTTATCATTCTATGATGACCATTGTCTCTTGAAAGAATTCTTTGTCTGATAGAAATTTAGCTGCTCCTGCTCTCTCGGTGCCTATTTGCATGTAATATTTTTTCCATTTTTATACTTTCAGCCTATTTGTTCCCAAAAGGGTGAAGTAAGTCTCTTGTAGGCTGCATATATTGGCTCTTTTGTTTTTATCCCTTCAGCTACTCTGTGTCTTTTCATTGAGGAATTTGTTTAAGGAGCTAGTATTGAGGTCTTCATTGTTTTCTTGCTCTTTTGTAGTTCCTTTGTTTTTCTTCTCTTCCTTTATGATTTGATCATTTTTTTTTAGTAGAATGCTTTGATCCCTTTCTTTGTTGTATATTATGTAAGTTTTTATTTGCCATTTCCATGAGGAGTATGTAAAATAACTCAAAAGTCCATTTTAATGTAATAAAAGCTTCAATTGCATATAAATATTTTAAATTTGTATCTCTCACAGAACATAGCATTTTATGTTTTCAGTGTTACAATTCACATCTCTTATATTGGGCATCTAATATCAAATTATTGTAGGGGGATATAAATGGTCATGGAAAAAATAAAAATAAATCATAAATTTTAAAACAAAAAAATTATTGTAGCCATCATTTTTACTACTTTTACTTTTTAACCTTTATAATAGAGTTATGTGGTATACACTTGACCAATAGAGTATTGTAGTATTGAGTTTGATTACATTCTCAGCTTTACCAGTGAGCTTCCTGTGTTTTTATTTAGTAACCTTTCATTTTAGCTTGAATGACATTCTTTGACATTTCTTTTTCTTTTTTATTGATTTTAGAGCCACAGAAACAGTTGATTTGTTGTTCCACTTATCTATGCATTCATTGGTTGATTATTGTGTGTGCCCTGACTGTGGATCAAACCCACAACCTTGATGTGTCAGGATGACACTCTATCCAATTGAGCTACCTGACCATATTTTTTTGCATTTCTAACAAGTCAGGTTGAGTGGCAGTAAACTTCCTCAGCTTTTGTTTGTCTGAGAAACTATTTTTTTGTTTGTTTGTTTCTAAGGGGCTGTCTTTCTGGGTACAGTCTTGTTGAATGGCAGTTGTTTTCTTTTAGTGTTTTGAATATATCACCTGGTTTTCTCCTAGCCTGAATGGCTTCTGCTGAGAATTTTTTATTCTTTATCTTTTTTTTTTTAAAATATGTATTTTATTGATGTGGGGTTGTTTTTTGTGTGAGAAAAGTTTATTTTCTCTTCGTGCTTTATGAGTACTCTTTTGCTTTTATTTTTGACACTCATTGTAATATGTTTCGGTGAGATCCTGTTTGCATTGAATTTGTACAGGGACCTGTGAGAATAATGAACTTGTATGACCACATTTTCAATTAGATATTGAAAGTCAGTCTTCAGCTTCTTTATTTCCTCCTTCCTTCTTTTCTTTATTTCTTCCTTCCTTCCTTCCTTTCATTGGGGTGACACTGGTTAACAAAATAACACAGGTTACAGATGCACAATTCTACTGCGCATCGTCTGTGGAATGTTATGTGTTCATGGATCTTTTGGAATTCATGCCTTTGAACTCTGCAGTGTCCTCTGAGGTGTAAACTCTGGAGAGGTTTTAGATATTACAGGGGCTTTGAAGCATTTCATCAACAAAATTTGTCAGTGTCCTTCATTGAACAGGCCATTAGGGTTCAATTTGACACGAGCAAACTGGCTAAAAGAGCTAGCCTTTATATTTGTCTTTTGGCCCCAGCCAAGATCTTTATGCATCTTTGTACACCCAGTGTATCCAGTCATTGTTTCTGTGCATTTGTTTCTTTTTGCTCCTTTGCATTGCTCTTTGTGTCAATTGAACTCTTATTCCCCTCCCTTGGGTCTGTTTTTGTTCCTGGATAACTGTCTACTTGTGCTGGGAAGGGTAATGAATTCTGGTAACTCCTAATCTACCATGTTGCTGGTGTCACACATACAGGTCTTTTTCCTGTGGTTTGTTTTGTGCTGTGTTTTTCTACCGTAGTGCTGGCTATCCCTCTCTTCAGTTTCTCTCTTTGGAAGTGTATTTTCTATCTGTCTGCTATGTAGTGAATCATATGGGAGTTAAGGGCAAGGGTCCTTTGTGCATCACAGGATGCACATTACTTCATCCACGGTAGGGTGGGATCACAAACAGCCTTGCTTTGGTCAGTTGGTAAAAGGTTTTATGTTAGGGTTTTATTAAGGTCATAACTGGGAACCCAGGCTGTCCAGCAGTGTTTTGTTATCATTTCCAGTGCCCACACCCCACTCTGCTTGTTTTTGCCCACACTTTGCCAACTGGTCGGTTCTAGCAATTATTATTTATAATCAGACTTGTAGTTTATGGATGATCTTCACCTCTGTAAACTCTACACCTCAACCATTTCTCTTTGTACTGCTCTTCAACTGTGGTACTTGACTGCAGCACATTACAGTGTGCACATATCCTTGTGTTGACTGTGAACAGCATCTGTTCTGCTGCAATTAATTTTCATGGCTTTGAGCGCTTCCACATTCTTTTACATAGCCTCATGACAACAGCAAGAACAGTCACAAAACAAGAAGAGGAACTACTTGTAAACCATGTCTCTTTCTTTTGTGTCATTCTGTGTTTCTGTCCTACCATTGGTGAAGTTTTTGCCACTTACTGCCATTAAGGGTTTGAGCCATTTTTGCAGAGTCTTAACTCACTTGTATTGAAATCTTTCTATACTATCTGCCTAGATGTGACATATGGACATTTATGATGTGATTACCTTTTTTTTAAAAGAATTTATTTATGTATTTTTAGAGAGAAGGCAAGTGAGGGAGAGAGGGAGAGAAACATTGGCCCGCAACCCAGGCATGTGCCCTGACTGGGAACTGAATCCATGACCCTTCAGTTCACAGGCCAGTGCTCAATCCACTGAGCCACACCAGCTAGGGCTGATTACCTTTTCTTTATAAGATCAAAATATATTTCACTAACATTTCTTTGTCTTTAGGATGCTGCTGTGGAAAAGAGAATGTGGAGGCACCCATTGAACACAGCATTTCTGTACAAGCATCACAGGCAAAGAATTCCAGTGCAGCTTCATCTTCCCAGAAGAGCCACCCATGTGAGAGTTGTGCGCCAGTGCTAAGAGACATTTTCCTCTTGGTTGACCAGAAGGGAACACAACATAGCCTGACACTGCTGAAGTGTGGGGCATGTGCAAAACGATTTTATTTCAGTGCAAATTATTACCAGCCTGAAGAGCAGCACATGAGAGAGAAATCCTTTATATATAGAGTGGAGAAGGTCTCTGTTGTGAATAGCAGCAATTTCCATAAATCAAAAACTTTTATTGCTGGGGAGGTTGGGAATAATTTTCTAACCATCTCAGGAAATCTCCAGCAAAATGACACTGAAATCAGGGAAAGACCAAATAAAATTCCTGTGTCTGGAGTGACATTTCAGAGAAGAAAAAATCATTATACCTGGAAATCATGCAAGAATACCACTGGCCACAAGCACACTCTTGGACAGGATGAGGGTGTTCATAATGGAAGACAGTGTTTTTTGTGCCATGAATGTGGGAAATATTTTACCAGCAGCTATGGCCTTCGTTGTCATGAGAGACTTCACAAAGGAGAAAGGCCTTATGAGTGCAGTGAATGCGGAAAGTCTTTTACCACAGCTAGTAGCCTTGGAAAACATCAAAGAGTTCATCCTGGAGAAAGGCCTTATGAATGCAGTGAATGTGGGAAATCTTTCACAAGCAGCTTTGGCCTTCAGTGTCATCAGAGAGTTCACACAAGGGAAAGGCATTATAAGTGCAATGAATGTGACAGATCTTTTACCAGTAGCAGTAAGCTCTGTTATCATGAGAGAGTTCACACTGCTGAGAGGCCTTATGTGTGCCATGAATGTGGGAAATCTTTTTTCTTTAGAAGTCGCCTCCGTTTTCATGAAAGAGTTCATACTAGAGAAAGGCCTTATGAGTGCCATGAATGTGGAAAATCTTATACCTGGAGCAGTAACCTCTATGCTCATAAGAGAGTTCACACTGGTGAAAGGCCCTATGTGTGCAGTCAATGTGGGAAATCTTTTCAAAGAAATTCTGACCTTCGTTTACATCAGATAGTTCATACTGGAGAAAGGCCTTATGAGTGCAATAAATGTGGAAAATCTTTCACCAGTAACAACGGCCTTCGTTATCATCAGAGATTTCACACTGGAGAAAGGCCTTATGAGTGCAGTGAGTGTGGGAAATTTCTCGTGAGTAACAATGGCCTCCGTTATCACCAGAGAGTTCATAAGGGAGAAAGGCCTTATGAGTGCAATAAATGTGGGAGATCTTTTACCAGTAGCAGTGACCTCCGTTGTCATCAGAAAGTCCATACAAGAAAAAGGCTTTATGCCTGTAGTCATTGTGGGAAATCTTTTGTTCGTGTTAGTAACCTTCACTATCATGAGAGATTGCACACTGTAGAAAGGCCTTGTGAGTGTCCTAAATAGAAAAATCTTTTAACAGCAGTCATTGCCTTTATTGTCATCCAAGAATTCACACACTAAGGCCTTTTGAGTGCAAAAAATATGAAAAATATTTTACCATGTTGCCATATTATTTTGTTATACATCACACAAGAGAAAGGCCTCAATGTAAGCAGCAAATGTAGGAAATCTTTTACCTGTAGCTGTGGCCTCTGTTGTCAAAGAACTCAAGTTGGTTAAAGGGTTCAGGCATGAAGTAAATGTGGGAAATTATTTAGCCATAAAATTATGCCCTCTTGACATTGAATAGTTAACACTCTGAAAATGCTTAGGTTTTAGGGAATGCTATTTTCTTGTTCATTATAATGACACTGAAGAAAACTGAGTATCCATCCATCTGGGTTAACCTTTATACAAATATTCACAGAGTGGACATTTCTCATAAGTTCATGATGTAAACTGATTGTAACTTTTTAGATTCTTACCAGCAGTGTAGGAGAGTTCCATTTCAGCCACACTAAAAAGCTGTTGATTTGCTTAAACTTTATTAATTTTAGCTTTTTAAATAGGTTTGTTGTGCACTCTTGCTGTTATAGTTGCATTTTTATAAGAATTCATGAGCATTTTTGCAGATGTGTATTTAATAATTATAAAATTTTAGTAAAATGTGTGCTCATGTGATTTACTTATTTTATTATGAATTTAAATGCTTTAACCAATAGGACAGTGAAACAACAGATATGTTACAATGCATTGTCACTTATTTTTACTTCCTCAATAACAGGCATAACTCTTGCTTTATGGTATAATTGTTTTCAATACAGGGAAAATATTTCCAGTTTTTAAAAAGTATTTTGGTATATACACTATTATTTAGGCATATTCCATACACTTGATAGAATATTCTACAAAAAAAGGAAAAAAAGAATGATCTGCATTATTAAGGCATTTCATTACTTTTGTAAGTTCAAACATTTACTAATATAAAAATCCTTTTTATTTCTTTTAATTATTCAAGTATAGTTGTCTGCATTTGCCACCCTCCCCCCCACCCATCGCCACCTCCCTCCCCTCTTTTCCACCCCTCCTTGGTTTTGTCCATATGTCCTTTATAGTTGTAAAAGCCTTCCTTGTAAGTGTTACTAATTTTTGTGGTCTATCTTCTGGGGTGTGCTGGGATGGAGCAAATGCAAAGGTGCACCAGGTGGTATGAAGGTGAGGGTCTGTTGAGTTCCAAAGCCCTTCTGAAAATGAAAGAGATCAGTGCCCCAACTCTTCATACCTTTGTCCATGCAACCTGAGTTAAAATATCAGAACTCCAACAATCACCACAATAACAGAGAAAGCATCCCTCATATTTTTTGTAAGATGGGAGCAATGGGCTGCCGTACACCAGGCTTTAGTGCTGTACCTGGTAGAGCCAGTGTGCACAAAATGACTGGTCCCATTATGTGTGGGTGTCATCCACAGACCAGATGCCCCTGGGACCCTTTGCATCCCAGTGCTTGAGAAAATAAATTGGGCCTCTCAGGACCCCTGACTGGCTAAGGTTCACACAGACCCCCACCACATGGAGGAGATGTCTTCACAGCACTGAGGTGTTGGCGTGGATTTTTTTTTACCAGGGAAGGGAAGGGAATTTTTTTTTTTTTAACCAGGGAGGATCAATAGAGGTAACAAAACACTGAATACGTACCATTGCCGGTATTCCAGGGTTTTTGAGCCTTTTTTTTTTTTAATACTTATAATATCCTGGAAATTTGAGGAAATCAAGGATCAGAACAATAAAGTGAGCCCTGGCTGTTGTAGCTCATTGGATTGAGCGGTGGCCTGCGAACCAAAGGATATCTAGTTCAATTCCCAGTCAGGGCACATGTCTGAGTTGTGGGCCAAGTGCCCAGTGAGGGGTATATGAGAGGCAAACACACATTGATGTTTCTCTCCCTCTCTCCTTCCCTTCCCCTCTCTAAAATCTTAAAAAAAAATAAAGTTATAAAGATAGAAAGATAAAGTGAGTTTTCCAAGTTCATACATCAGATAAGTGTCAGATTCCAGAGGCTGCATAAACCAGAGACTCTGACTCTAGAGCTAGGGACAATCCAGGACATGTGAAGCCCTCAATTTAGAGCAGATGGCTAGGGAGGAGCAGGGAGGCTCAAGTGCTGCTGCTGCTTTAATTGGAATTATAATCATGATTTTTTTCTTGTTACTCTGTTGTGTCAGAGCACTCACTGTCTGCCCCACAAACTTGATGGGAATGCCATCTGTTGTCATCTCCAATAGTGACTCCAAGGGAAACGTTTTTTGAGTCTCAGGTGAATTTCGTCTGCCTCAACTTTGAGATTAGCACAGAGCTGGCCCTAAGGAGACCCAGTGATTCATGGCCTGGGTCTTTACCTTCACCCACCTTTATCTGACAGGACAGCCACCCCTTGTTCCCCTTAATACACACTAGAACTGTGTTAATCTCAGGGTGACTCGCTAGAACTCCCTGAACCTCATGCAGGTAATGATGGCACTTACTTTGGCTCTGGGGATCAGTAAAGGGAACAAATAGTACTTGCTGGTATCAGGATTCCAGGGTTAGGGTTTAGAGCATTTTCTTTTTTTTAATTCTCACAAGACGCTGGGAATGTAAACTAACATTGAAGTGCTGAGAAAATCCAGGATTAGAGAAATAAAACATCCTCCAAGTTAACACAGCACACTGTCAAAGAGGCTGGTTTCTAACTTTGGATTCTGGCTCCAGAGCCCAGGACAGTGTCACTGCTGTGAAACCTTCACTGGGGCAGATACACAGGGAGAACCAGGTAGGGTTAGTTGAAGCTGCCCTTTCCATTGTAATTATTTTTTTCTTCCATTCCCCTAACATCTAAGAGTACTTACGCACTGCCCTCCAGTCTCCAGAAAAATGGCATCATATGTCACCTCCAGTAGTTTCTCCCAGTAAACCTTTTTTTCAGTCTGAGTTGCAATTTGCCTCTTTTTTGAGCTCAGCATAGAGTGTGACCCTCAGGAGACCTCAGTAATTTGGGCTGGGTCTCTGCACCTTCACCCACCTTTTGGGTGTCAGGATGTGATACCATCCCTTGAGATGAATTTGATATCTTAATTTGTCTCTTAGAGTATTGACATTACATGGTTCTACATTCACCCTGAAGGACAGGGTACAATAGGATGTAAATTTTGGGACTTCATATTCAAAAGTGATGCTGGAGACCTGCAGGATGCTGGTCTCATTGGGTGAGTGCTCACCTCTTCTCCGTGCAAGGGTCCTACTGCCTATGTTATTTTGTTGTCTGTCCAGAGTGGCTTTATGAGACACTGATGCTCACCATTTCTTTCCTGCATCCCTGACCATGTTCTGAACCAAAGTCATTTTTTTGCAGTCTCTGTCTGCACCAAGGACTTTGTACATAGTATTTTTATATATACAAACCCTGACCCCAGTGTCCAGCATACTCTATCCACAATGCAGATTCTTTTACTCCTGATTCCAGTTAGCAGAGAGATGCAAATATACTTTTAAAAAAAGATTATTTATTTTTAGAGAGGGCAAGGGAAGAAGAAAGAGGGAAAGAAACATTGACATGCAAGAGACACATCAATTGGTTGCTTCTCAACCCCCAACCAGGGACCTGGCCTACAACCCAGGCATATGACCTGGCCAGGAATGAAACTGGCAATCTTTTGGTTTGTCAGATGGCATCCAACACACTGACCTATACCAGTCAGTGCCCAAATACACTTTTTAGAGTATAATCTCTATAAGAAAATTTAATGTAGGTCATTTTTATTTACTGATTGATTTGAAGTAGAAAGAAATGAGAGAAAGGAGCATCCATTTGTTTTCCCAGTTATGTATGCATTCATTGGTTGAATGAATTGGTATATTCCCTGATCTGGGATGGAACCTGCAACCTTAACATATGGGGTGACCCTCTAACCACCCAACCAAATGATCTTCCCAGACAGACTGATTTAGAGTGTTATAAACAAAATTTAACCAAGTAAATTTAAAGATAATTGGCTTTAAGTGATCCTTAATCTGGCAGCAACCCATCTAATAACATGAAAGGTGCTCAGATTTGCATGAAATGGAGGGAGGAAGAAACTTAGATGTTCAAGGTGGATTTAATGAGGGAAGTCAAAAGTTACAAATTTTTAGCTTTAGCCCTGGCCGGTGTGGCTCAGTGTGTTGGACACCATCCAGCAAACCAAAAATTGCCAGTTTGATTCCGGGTCAGGGCATATGCCTGGGTTGCAGGCCAGGTCCTTGGTTGGGGGTTGTGAGAGGCTATCGATCCATGTTTCCCTCTTTCCCTCCCTTCTGTCTCTCTAAAAAATAAATAAATAAAATATTTTTAAAAACTGAAAAATGGTTTTTAGCTTTAGTTATAGTTAATATGTTTAGTGATTAATGCATGTAGAAAACTGGTTCCATGAAGTGGAATGCATGACTGGACATAACCTAACTGTAGAATGCCAAGAAGCAAGTCAACTTTTGTGTCCCAGGAGGATGGCAAGTGATCAAGATGGTATCTGCACCATTGTGCTCCAGAGAGGGGACATCCATCGACCAGGATACAGATAAACAATCAGTGGTCAGCAGATAGATGCTAGAAAAGCATCCAACAACACACATTAAAATTATTAAGGAAATAGCTCTGGCTGGTGTAGCTCAGTGGATTGAGCAAGGGCCTGTGAACCAAAGGGTCACCGGTTTGATTCCTACTCAGGGCACATACCTGGGTTGCAGGCCAGGTACTCAGTAGGGGACACGTGAAAGGCAACCACACATTGATGTTTCTCCCCCTCTCTTTCTTCCTCCCTTCTCTCTAAAAGGAAATAAAAGAGAGAGAGAGGCTGGAAAAATCGCTGGACTGCAATTTTTATCTGATTTTTTCCTTGAATTAGATTAGGGCACCTTACCTACTTTTTTCTTGAATTCCAAAACCACTACCTACCCTGCCCTTATTATTAAAAGGCTAGCCTGACATGAGATGTTAAGACAGTTTTTAAGGTACATAACCTGCCATCTTCTTTAGACTGTTGGCATGTGAATAATGCACACAGAAAAATTAAATTTTCTTTTTGTCCAAACCTGGAGAGAATTTTTTAAAGAATTTATTTGAGCTACCACTGGTAACAATGCCTGGAAACAAGATCTCAAATTCTCTAAAATTCAATACTTGTCTCTACTTTTTGGTTCTGTCAGTGACAGGCAGCACAAATGCCAACTTTTCTTATTACAGATTATTTCAAGCAAAGTCACTTTCCCTTAGGGGAAGACAAAAGTCTTAATAGGAGGCTTTGCCCTGACTGGTGTGGTTCAGTGGCTTGGGAGTGTGCCTGCAAAGCGGAAGGTTAGAGATTCAGTTCCCTCAGGACACATGCCTGGATTGCTGGACAGGTCCCTGGTTGGTGACAGGCAAGTGGCAACCAACTGATTTCTCCTTCTTGTGCCTCATTTTCCCTTCTCTCTAAAAATAAATAAAATCTTCTAAAAATAAATGAGGTTTTATAGGAAGCAGGGTGGGGCATGGAAGCAATTAGAAAGGACCGGATATTTCTGAGCCAGGACATCTTTTCATTAGAGGAAAAGATCTAGAGGGGTTTTTGTCTTGCAGATTGCCTCTTCTAACTAAGGGGAATGGAGAGGGTTTGTAAGAAAGATCACCTGAAGATCACATTGGACAGAAAATGTCAAACTGGGTAAGACTAGATTTCCGTAAACCTACAATTACATCATGAATTAAACTTGGTTTCGTATCTTGGGCTTTCAGCATCACTGATGCCATTTTGGGCCTGTGGTTTTTGAAAAATAACCTGTTCTTCCAAAGCACAGGTAACACGCCTTAAATTTGCATGTGAATTGGGAGGCCAGTCTTCCGGATCTGACCCCTGAAGCTAGGTTCCGGTACATTGTGTCGGAACTGCAAATTAACAGAAAGCAAAGTCCTCCCTCGAGATAGGAGGAGTATCAATTTACGCATCCTTCCAGTTGCTCAGGATAGAGAACTCCATTCCTTAGGACCGCCAGAGCTCTGAGAACTACATTACCCAGAAGACGGAGGGCTTCGTGGAGCCAATCCCAAATCGAAAGAAAGCATTTCTCTGAGATTTCACCAATTTGGGGCGGGACTTCCGACATCCTCCTCCTGGCGGCCATTCTTGCTCCCATTCTTGTGAGTCTATTCGGCTTTGGGTAGGTGAGCCGCTTATGAGGTGATAAAACGGAGAAAGAGCAAAGGAGTCGTAGTCCCTGCCGAACAGACAGGAGTCTGACACTCGGTGACACCGCCCGTGAGGCCCGCCACCGCGGAGAATCGAACCGCGGTCCGGGGGACCCTTCCGCACTCGCCGCTCCCGCCCCGCTCCGCCCACACTGTCGGATGGCGGCGGCTTCGAGGAGGCGCCCAGCTGCGGTGAGTGCGCGTCCCGGTGCCCTCCACCCTCACCCTCCGGAGTCTCGCAGTCCGGGTGCGGGGCGCCCGTCCTGTCCTGCAGCCCAAACCCTGGTGGACGGCGTTTAGGTGGCGGAATGCAGATCTTCCTGCCGGTGCTGCTATTTGGTCAGAAAGAGTAGGTAGGGTGCGGGATGAGTTTTCTTCTGACTCTGAATCTAATGGGGGTGCTGCGCACAGAAATACAAGTAAAGGATGGAGGTGATCACGGTGACTGTGGCGGGTGACGAAGCCTTCAGTGGGACGAGTGGACGTGATGGTTCTGGAGACGGGAGTAGCTGAGATGACTTGACACAGGGCAAAGCTCCTGCATGTTCGCTAGAGCTGGATCCACTCCGTGTGTGCACTGTGCTGTGTGGGGTCTGAGGGAGTCTCAGATTTGCTGGTGGCTAAGGTCTGGGACACGTGTGGTCATTTTTGAGTGTCTGTTCCTGGCACGGTGACGATCAGGACTGGGATTTTTAGGGAAGGCCGTGTGGAGAGAGCCCATTGAGGCTGAGCAGTACAGCACACTAGTGGAAGGGGATCATGGCCATCTGAATTTCACATGTGGTTCTGGGAGGCGAACACTGAAGCGAGAGCCAGAGGAGGTCTTCGAAGCAGCGTCTCCACAAATGCATACCTGTGGGAGCTCAGGTGGGGACTGAAGGTGTCAGAGGGACAATCTACATAATGATGTGATTATTGAGAAAAGGTGTGAGTTACTGTCCAAGGACCCTAGTATTGGGCACTGAAGGGCAAAGCGTGAGCCCACACTTGGCTGTGTCTTGTCACAATCTAGACACCCCAAAGGGAATTAATGACAGGGTGGATGGGACCCTACAAGCCAGGACCAGAGCTGGATTACATCTCTGTGCCTTCCTGCCTGATGAGACCGAGGGCTGAACAATAATGAATAAAAAGGGACCTGAGTGTAGGGCAGGCATCAGTGGAATTCCTCTGAGATGTGCAGCTTTGGAGAAGGGTGAGTGTGGGATAGATGTGAGGGGGGGGTTGTGGGCTCTCACACACAGAATGTTCATGCTTTTTTCTGTCCCCATGATAACAGGCCAGTGTGACCTTTGAGGATGTTGCTGTGCACTTCTCCTGGGAGGAATGGAGGCTGCTTGATGAGGCTCAGAGACGCCTGTACCTCTGTGTGATGCTGGAGAACTTTTCACTTATATCCTCTCTGGGTAAGACCCACAGCCTCACCAGTGACTCGGACTAGACTCTACTCCATCCACCCCAAGACCTTTCTCAGTACTTAGGTGTAGACCACGGGCACTGCTTGCTGCCCTAGTTTTCTGGGTAGTTGCTGTATTGCTAGGGCTGGTGTGTTTTCACTGCCCTCATCTCTCCCTGTAGTCCCAGTCCTAAACCCTTTTAGGGAAGAATTCAAGGTCAGTACTATTGCATTGAGCTTAGTGGATTCAGTGCTTGCCCTCTCAGAGTCTGGGTTAATGTGTCCAGGTCCACATCACTTCTGCATCCCAGGGTTTGAGTCCTTCTTTTAGCTGTCATTTCCTCCTGCCTCCCTGGGCCAGGAGTTGCAGGTGTTGTCCTGGTCATTAGGTATCTGAACCATGGACTTGTCTTAAAATACCTCCGGTACATAGTGTATAGTCTTTAGATCTGTTTTCCATTTTTTCCCCTAGCTTTGTGGAGGTATAAACTTGTATATATTGAAGTGTAGAGTGTGGTGATTTTATACATTTAGTGAAATAATTGCCACAGTGAAGTCAATTCAACATCCATCACTATAGAAAATTAACTTATTTTTTAATGCTAAGAATGGTTAAGATCTACTCTCTTGAATTTCAAGTATATGAAGTTGTTAACTATAGTCACCATGCTTTTAATTACATCCTCAGAACTTACTCATCTTTTTTTTTTTTTAAGATTTCATTATTTATTTAATAAATAAAGAGAGGGGGGACGGGAAGGCAAAAGAGAATGAGAGAAACATCAATGTGTGGTTGCCTCTCACATGCACCTCCCACAGCTGACCTGGCCCACCACCGAGTCATGTGCCCTTTGGTTCTCAGGCTAGCACTCAATCCACTGAGCCACACCAGCCAGGAAAAAAATCTCTCATATTTTAAAGGAATGTTTGTACCTTTCTACCAGCAAGGTCCTGTTTTCCACTACACCCCAGATTCTGGCATTCTACTTGTTTTTTCATAATTTTGAATTTTTTTTTTAACATTTCAGCCTTATTTTACTTGGGTTTCGTTATATCCACACCTGCACTAACACTTCTTTCTGCAGTGTTTTTCTTTTTTGAAGATTTTCTTTATTTGTTTTTAGAGAGAGGGAAAGCGGGGGGAGAAAGAGAGGGAGAGAAACATCAGTGTGTGGTTGCCTCTCACAGGCCCACCACCAGATTCCTGGCCCAAAACCTAGGCATGTATCCTCACTGGGAATCAAACCAGCAGCCCTTTGGTTCTCAGGCTAGTGGATTGAACCAGCAATCAAACCACTGAGCAACACTATCCAGGGCGCTCTCTGCAGTGTTGATGATAGACATCTTATCAGGTTAGAGGTGATATCATTGTTGGTTTGATTTGTATTTAATGTTGATTAGTGAGGAAAAATGTTTGTGTATGTCTGTGCATGTGTTTTGGTGACAAAACATGGAAAGAAATACATTTTCTGTATTTGTTTGCCATTTTTAGATTTTTGATTAAATGTTTATTCAGATTTGGGCCAACTTTTTAATTTGTTCTTTTGCTTTTGAGTTCTTTGAGCACCTTATATGTTAGATATTTACTCTTTATGAGACCATTCTTACAAATATTGCCTCGATTTTCATTTTGTTGGTTGCTTTCTCTTATTTACTTTTTTTAAAAATAGGATTGGTGTGTGTGTGTGTGTGTGTGTGTATTAAGATTTTATTTATTTTTACAGAGAGAGGAAGGGAGGGAGAAAGAGAGGGAGAGAAACATCAGTGTGTGGTTGCCTCTCATGTGGCCCCCACTGGGGACCTAGCCTGCAACCCAGGCATGTTCCCTGACCGGGAATCAAACTGGCAGCCCTTCGGTTCACAGCCTGTGCTCAATCCACTGAGCTACACCAGTCAGGGCTATTTTATTTACTTTTAGAGAGAGTGAAAGGGAGGGAGAAAGAGGGAGATACATCAATGTGTGACAGATACACCAATGAATCAGTTGCATCAACCCCAACTAGGTACCTGGCCTGGAACCTAGGCATGTGCCCTGACTAGGAACTGAACTAGTGACCTTTCTGTTCACAGGCCAGGGCTCAGTCCACTGAGCCACACCACCCAGGGCTTTTGATTGCTTTCTTTGCTGTGCAGAATCTTTTCTTTTAAAGATTTTATTTATTTTTAGAGAGCAGGGAAAGGAGGGAGAAAAAGAGGGAGAGAAACATCCATGAGTTGTTGCCTCTTGTGCACCCTCCACTGGAGACCAGGCTTGCAACACAGTTATGTGCCCTGACTGGGAATTGAGCCAGTGAATCTTTGGTTGACAGGCTGGCACTCAGTCCACTGAGCCACATCAGCCAGGGCATTTGCAGAATCTTTTTAGTTTGATATAGCCTGGCTTATTTATTTTTGCCTTTCTTATCTGCTTGTGGTGTCATCCAAAATATTATTGCCAATACCAATGTCAAGGTCTTCTTTCCCAAAGAATTTTGTATTTTCATGTGTTACATTTGAGAGTTTACTGCATTTTTAGTTAATTTTTGTGAGTGGTGTATGGTTGGGGGTCTGGTATATGTTCAATATTTCATCACTATTTATTTAACTTTATTTTATTGATTTTCATAGAGAGAGAGTGAGAGAGTCAGAAACATCAGTTTATGATCTTGTATGTGCCCTGAAACCTTGGCACATTGGGATAATGCTCTAACTAGTTGAACTACCTGGCCAAGGCTCAACACTATTAGTTGATCAAACTATCTTTTCCCCATTGAGTGTTTTTGGTGTCCTTATTAAAGAATAGTTGCCCACATATGTGGGTTTATTTCTGGGCTGTCTATATTCTGTTTCTTAGATCTTTGTGTCCATGTGTCTATTTGTGTTGATTAATATTGATTTGTAATATGGTTTAAATCCTGAAGTTTTGGCCCTCAACAGTGGCCTGAGGTGGTTGGGTGTTGTCCCACAAAGCTAAAGGATGCTGGTTCCATTCTTGGTCAGGGCATATACCTGGGTTTTGCGTTTGGTCCCCAGTTGGGGTGTGTACAAGAGGTGACTGATCAATGTTTCTCTCTCACCTCAGTATTCTCTCCCTATCTTTCTCTGTCCTTCTCTTGTAAAGATAAATAATGTCTTAAAAAAAGTAAATAATGAAATGTGATGCTTCTGTCTCTACCCTTGATCTTCTTGAAAATTCCTTTGGCTATTGGAGATCATTTGTTGTTTGAATTTTAGGATTCTTTTTTTGTTTCTGGTAAAAATATTAACAGACTTTTGTAGAGATTGCATTGAATCATTTGGTGGTTTTATTAGAAATAGCCAGCCCTGGCTGGTATGGCTCACTAGTTTGAGTGCTGGCCTGCAAACCAAAGGATCAGTGGTTTAATTCCCATTCAGAGCATATGCCTGGGTTTTGGGCCAACTTCCCAGTACAGGGCATTCGAGAGGCACATGCATATTGATGTTTATCTCCATCTTCTTCCCTTCCCCTCTCAAAAATAAATAAATAAATACATCTTTGTTAAAAAAGAAATATCCTAACAATAATAATTCTTCCAATCCAAGAACACAGGATGTCTTTTCATTAATTTCTGTGTTTAGTTCCTTTCATCACTGTGTTAAAGTTTGAGTCCACATTGTTCTCCTCCTTGATTAAATTTATTCTTAAGTATTTTATTGTGTTTAATGCTATGGGTCTCTTAATTTCTTATTGAGATATTTTATTAGTGCTATGATGCATCTTGATTTTTATGTGGATTCGGGGTTCTGTAAATTTACAGGGCTTGTTCATTCTGCCATGGGTTTTTTTTCTTAGTGCAGATTTTAGGTTTTTATTAATACAGACTTATATCATCTGCAAACACAAGCAGTTTTACTTTTTTTCTGTATAGCTTTTTATTTATCCTGGCAGGAGAACATGGTCACTGATCTTGGAGGGAAAGGAAGGGGGAGAGAAACATTGATGTGAGAGTGAGAGGGAAACGTTGATCAGTTGCGTCTCCTACATGCCCTGACCTGGGACCAAACCGCAACCCTAGGGTGTGCCCTGACTGGGGGGTGGAACTGCTGACCATTTGCTTTACAGGACGATGCCCAAGAAACTGAGCAAAACTGATGAGGGCAATATCAATTATTTTTTTTAATTTTTAAAAATGATTTTATTTATTTACTTTAGAGAGAGGGGAAGGGAGAAGGAGAGGGAGAGGAACATCCATGTGCCAGATACATCAGTCAGTTGCCTCTTGCACACCTGCATACCCCTACACCCTTTATCAAGGACCTGCCCTGCTGTGGGGAGGCTCTGCCCACAGAGCCCTCCTGTCCTCCACAGAGGAGAATAAGTCTACCAAGATGCGATCTCCTTAGGGAGGAAAGGTGGCCAGTCTCTTGAGTGCTCATTCTTGAGCCTGTTCCTCAATGGACTTTTATTAGGTTTAATTTGCATAGGAACACAGGGCTTATAGGTAAAGTTCATCAATCATTGTCCAGCAGTTATGATCAAGGAATGGATATTCAAAGAAATATAATGTCTTTTTCTGAGTCAGGGTCAGCTACATAGAGTGACCTCAAAGGGCCATAAAACTTTGGGAAACAAACTCATTTTATGCTTAGATTGTTATCATTTAAATTGAGGGTATTCTTACCAAAGCAGGTTTCACAGGATTTTATACATTCCTTTCTTAGGCCTGATCTCCCTAGGAAACCCCCATTCCAGGACAGGGCCACACCCACCTCCAGCATTATTTTAGGTTTAAGTCAGGTAGTGGGTGGGGGCAGCCAAGAGATTAGGAGACTTTATACAGATAGAATGAGCACTCATGCTCTGACAAAGCTGAGGGGTGAGGGTCCATCACCCCTTTTTCTATAGTCCCCTAAGTACTTCCCTGGTGGCCCCTTCTGTGACCCTGACTATCTTAGGTTGTCCTTCCCTTGAGGAATCTTACCCATCTTTGGCTAACCAGTCATCCACCTTGGGCCAGGCAGGTTGAAGTAGGCAGCACCCCTACTGGGAACATGTTTTATCTCCTTTAGTGGCTTATAGTCCCAAGGTATTTTTACTCAGCCTTAGCCATGGGGGTTTACAACTTCTAAAACAGACAGGGTACTGCTGAATCCACTGAGACACTCCAGCCAGGTCCATTATTTTTTCAAATAACCTTAGGATAACCTATAATTTATGTAGACTTTTTTTTACTCTCTAGTGCTTTTCATTACTTTTTCCTTTGGATGGTTTTAAAAGACCTTTCAATTTCTGAATCATTTCTTTGATGTATCAAGTAAACTGTTGATGCTCTCTGCCCCATTCTTTTCCTTTCATTTATTATCTTTTTAAGCACCATAATTTCTGTTTCTTTTATTTTGAAGTCCTTCTGACCATTCACAGATCTTCATTTCTTTGGGGTAATTGATAAATTACTGTGTTTTCTTGTTTGGGGGTTTGTTGTCATGTTTCCTTGATGGGGTGTGTGTGTGTGTACTTTGGAGCCTTGTGTTGATGACTGTACATTTCACAGAGCAGAATTTCTTGCAGACTTCATGGAAAGGTTTTACGGGGCAAGATCCTGTGTGTGGGTGTCACTGTGCAGACTTAGTAGGATGTTGCAGTTTTCAATACAAGGAGGCCCAGCAGCTTAGTGTCTGAATCTGTGTCACCTGAGGTCAACATTAGGGAAACAATAGCTAAGACTGTGGGTGTTGACACCAGTAGAGAAGGTTTCTGAGGACTTCTCAACTTTGTTCTCTCGTGGGAACTGTTTTGGCTGAGTGGTTCCCTTTTGGTGCCAAGTGCAGGGGGTCTTCATGGTGATGATGCAGTTGGTGTCTGATCTTTGGGCACCTGTAGAGCAGGTGTGAATCTGGATTCTAGACTCTGAGTAGACTCAGAGGAATAGCAGTAGTAAGGTCTCAGATACTGACAAGCCCCCAGGAAAATTGACATTGTTGTGTGAGATGCAGTCACACACCGATCAGTTCTGGAGCCTGTGACCAGCACACAGGTACACACAGAGAGACAGTGATTCTGGTGTCTGAGGAGCCGGCTGCCCCTCAGTGGTCATGGCTTTGGTACCTGAGCCCTAAGCACTCACTTGATGGCTGTGGAGTCAGGGTCTAAAATGCAGGCATCCCAGGAGCAGCTGTGGCTCTGGGGCCTGGGATTTGGGAGATGTGGCTGCCCTGGTGCTGGAAAGGGGGAGCGAGGAGAACTCACCCACTCTGGTCCCACAGGTTGCCTGTGGTGGTGGCCCTTGGTACCGTCAGTGTTAAGGCTGCCAGTGTCCTCTGGGGAGTAGGCAGCTTGGACCCAGGGCAACACGTGCTGGGTTTCCTCTGCTGTGCATATTGTAGGAGTTCTCACTTTCAGCAAGATCTGTGGTCTCTGTGGCAAAGGCTTTGGGGTTTTTGGCAGAGCACGGCATTGGGAACACTATGTCATCTGCCCTGTAGCTGGTATGCATGGCTCCTGCCTTATTGTTTCTTTTCCATCTCTGTCTATGTTCACTAAGCTAATGTCACCACCTGATCTCTTTGTGTGAATATTCTCCTTTTTATAGTCCACTGTGTTGCTGTAATATCTTTTTGTTTTATTATATTTTTATATTTTTCTGATAGGGAAAGGGAGGAAGAAAGAAGGAGAAAAACATTGATGTGAGAGAGAAATATCAATTGGTTGCCATTTGAACAAGGCTGAACTGGGAACCAAACCCCCAACCTTTTGCTTTTTATGATGACTCAAACCACCTCAGTTACACCAGGCATGGTGCTATAGTGTTTCAGTGGTACTTTTTAGTCCTCCAAGGACCAATTTTCTCTGTGTATAACTGTCTTAATATTTTGTTGTTAGTAATCAAGGCTGGTTTCTTCCACCATCATGCTGACATGACTCACCTACATCTCTTTTCTGCGTCTGTTCTATGCTTTCTTGCTCTGGGACAATGCTGGCCATTCAGTGTTCCTGGTTTTTCCTTTTGTCACCCGTGTTCTATGTAGCTGTCCTGCTAAGCCTTTTCGGGGGAGAGTCCTTTCTGCACGTTTTTTACGATGGATCTCTCTCCAACAATGGCAAAGTGGGCTCACAGGAGGTGTGGTAGCTATGGAGATTGTGAACTCAGGACCTTGTTCAGATCATATCAGGAATGTGACTTTTTTTCAACCATAGTTTTGCTATTATTGCCAGTAGCCCCACCCACTTCTACCTTTTCCAGCTTTGACACTTTGCTGACTTGTCAGTCCTACTACTTGTCACTTCCCCCATGGTTTCCAGCTCAGGGATATTTCTACCTCCATTGATTCACATTTCACCCTTTCTCTCACCCCTCTGTCTGTAGTACTCTTGAACACTGGCGCTCATGTGTTATTCACCTAGACACTTACAGATCTATATTTGACCTTGTACAGTAGCTCATATCTTGCAATTGGACAGTAATGGGTTTGTATGCGTGCTTCTACCCAGCCTAATGTCAGCAGCAGAGAGAAACATGCAGGAAGCTGTTGGCAGAGGAAATGCATTGTAAGCCCTGTCTCTCTTCCGTGTGTCATGCCCTGTGCGAGTATCCTTCCCCTGGAAAGGTTTTCATTATATTGTGACCTTAGAGGCCCAATAAAATATAAGAATCAGCCAGTCCTTCAGTGGAACTTTCTCACTTTGAAGAATATTTCGTGTATTCTTGCTTTTGTGTGACACATAGAATTGTGTGCTGTGGTTCTCTGCTCCTTATAGTCAATAGGTACTTCACCAGCATTTCTCTGCATTCAGGTTGCTGCTGTGGAAGAAAGGATGTGGAGACACCCATTAAACAGAATGTTTCTGTACGAGTATCACAAACCAAGAATCCCAAGGCAGCTTCATCTTCCCAGAAGACTCACCCCTGTGCGAGTTGTGGGCCCGTCTTGAGAGACATTTTCACCTTGGTAGAGCAGCAGGGCACACAACATAGCCCGACACTGCTGAGGTGTGGGGCATGTGCAAAACGATTTCATTTCAGTGCAAAGTGTCAACAGTACCAGGAACAGCATATGGGACAGAAACCTTTTAGAAGTAGTGTGGGTAGGGCATCATTTGTGAAGAGCTGCAGAATCCATGTGTCAGGGACACGCTTTATCAATGGCGAGGTTGAGAAGGAGTGCCTAGCCAGCTCAGGACATCAGCAGCAGCAGGACACCCATAATGTGAAGGAGCCCAACAAAGACACCCAGTGGGAAGCAACGTTACAAAGCAGAAAAACTCATTACGCTTTGGAAGAAGGCAAGAAAGCCTTCAACCCCCAACACATACTTGTGGACCAAGCAGTTCATACTGGAAGACAGTGTTTTGTGTGCAATGAATGTGGAAAAACATTCAGGTACAAATCCTCATTTATCACGCACTGCAGAGGCCACACTGGAAAAACTTTACATGTGTATGGTAGAAGTAGAAAATCCTTCGGTGGAAGCTCAGCTCGCAGTCATCATGAAAAAAGTCAAATAGGAACAAGGCAGTATAAGTGCAGCAAATGTGGAAAATCCTTAAGCCACAAATATTTCCTCATACCTCCCTTGGGACAGCACAATGGAGAAAACAGTTTTGTGTGCAGTGAATGTACACAACCTTTTAGTCATAGTTCAGTGTTGATTCCTTATCAGAGAGTTCACACTGGAGAAAAGCCTTATAAGTGTAATGACTGTTCCAAATCTTTTACCTCTGTTGCTGCTCTAAATTATCATCAGAGCTCTCACACAGGAGAAAGGCCTTATGGGTGTAATGAATGTGGGAAATCTTTTATTTCTAGGTCTGACCTGCGTTATCATCAAAGAGTTCACACTGGAGAGAGACCTCATGAGTGTAGTGAATGTGGGAAATCTTTTATTACTCGTACTGCTCTTCGTTATCATCAGAGAGTTCACACTGGAGAAAGGCCTTATGAATGTAGGCAATGTGGGAAGTCCTTTACCCGTAGAAATAACCTTCTCATACACCTGAGAGTTCATTCAGGGTATAGGCCTTATGAATGCAGTGAATGTGGTAAATCTTTTACTTTTAGCTCTAGCCTTCGTTATCATCATAGAGTTCATACAGGAGAAAGGCCTTATGATTGTAATGAGTGTGGAAAATCCTTTAACAATAGGTGGACACTTGTTCGACACCAGAGAATTCACACAGGAGAAAAACCTTATGTGTGCAGTAAATGTGGCAAATCTTTTACTTGTAGCTCTACCCTTCAGTATCATGAGCGAGGCCACCTTGGAGAAAGGCCTTATGAGTGCACTGAATGCGATAGATCTTTTACCACTAGCTCTGCCCTTCGTTACCATCAGAGTGTTCACACAGGAGAAAGGCCTTATGGGTGCAGTGAATGTGGGAGATCTTTTATCTCTAGATCTGACTTCCAGTATCATCAGAAAACTCATTCAGGAGAAAGGCCTTATGAGTGCAGTGTATGTGGGAAATCCTTTATTCGAAGAAATAACCTCATTTTACACCAGAGAGTTCACACAGGAGAAAGACCTTACAAGTGCAGTGAGTGTGGGAAATCTTTTAACAATAAGTCGACACTCATTCAACACTTGAGAGTTCACACAGGAGAAAAACCTTACGTGTGCAGTGAATGTGGGAAATCCTTTACTTCTAGCTCCACACTCTGTTATCATCTGAGAACTCATGCGGGAAAAAGGCCTTATGAGTGTCGTGAATGTGGGAAATGTTTTACATCCAGTTCCACCCTGAATTACCATCAGAGAGTTCATACAGGAGAAAGACCTTATAAGTGCAATGAGTGTGGGAAATCTTTTACCTTTAGCTCAAGCCTCCGTTATCATCACAGAGTACATACTGGAGAGAGACCATATGAATGCAGTGAATGTGGAAAAACCTTTAAGGATAGGTCACAATTTACTAAACACCAGAGAGGTCACACTGGACAAAGGCCTTATGAGTGTAGTGAATGTGGGAAATGTTTTAGCCACAAATCTTCCCTCTCAATACACCAGAAAATTCATAATAGAGAAAGGTCTTACAAATGCAGTGAATGTGGTAAATCTTTTACCTCTACGTCTGGACTTGGTTATCATCGGAGACTTCACAGGGGAGAAAAGCCCTATCAGTGCATTGAATGTGGGAAATCTTTTACCAGCAGCTCAATACTTGTTAGACACCAGAGAGTTCACACTGGAGAAAGGCCTTATGAGTGCAGTGAATGTGGCAAATCTTTTGCTAGCAGTGATACACTTTCTTATCATCAGAGAGTTCATACAGGAACAAAGCCTTACAAATGCAGTCAGTGTGAAAAATCCTTTGCCTCTGGTTCCACCCTCCGCTATCATCAGAGAGTTCACACAGGAGAAAGGCCTTATGAGTGTGGTGAATGTGGAAAATCTTTTATCTGTAGTTCCAAACTTCGTTATCATCAGCGAGTTCACACAGGAGAAAGGCCTTATGAGTGCAGTGAATGTGGAAAGTCATTTAGGGATAGTTCCCAATTCAGTCAACACCGGAGAGGTCATACTGGAGAAAGGCCTTATGAGTGTAGAGATTGTGGAAAATTTTTTATGCGAAAATCTACCCTGTCTCAACATCAAAGAGTTCACACTAGAGAAGAGCCTTAAATGTGTTGAGAATGTACAATATTCTGTTGTACATTCTGAATGTGTAACAGTCCTGGAGGAAACTCTGAATCTAAGCTGTTACATTTAAATTGACCCAATGAGGAGATTCCTTCTAAATTTCATTCATGTGGGAAATGTGTATATTGTATTTTCTTTGTTGCTCAGGACTCTTTTTAGGTTTATGGTTCAAACAGATTGTGTAGCTGTAACCTTTTCCTCTTTACCAGGGGCAGGTTTACAAACTTTGCAAGAGTCCACACCCTAATGTTCACTCAGGGAAACTGACCTCTTGTCCTCACATATACTGTAGTAAAGTAGGAATAATGTGAGCACTTGGGTGTCAGCTTTCCCTTTATGACTAATTTGGAGTCCAAAGGATTCGTTGGTCTCACATGATACTTTTGATGACTTTTTCCAGCTAGCAGTTCATAAACCTAGGAAGTGCCTGCTGCACATTGCTTTGGCTTGTACAATAATTGAGGCCTTACTCTTAAGTCCATACTAATCTTTATTTTTAAAATTAAAAGAAGATTTTATTTATTTATTTTTAGCAAGGAGGAAGGAGGGAGAAATAGAGGGAGAGAAACAGATCAGTTGCTTTTCTCACGTCCCCAACTTGGGACCCAACCTGCAACCCAGGCATGTGCCCTGATCAGGAACTGCAGCAGCAACCTACTGGGTCATGGGCCAGTGCTCAATCTACTGAGCCACACCAGCCAGGGCTGTTTTTAATTTTTATTGATTTTTAGAGAAGGGAGAGAGAATTATTGATTTATTGTTTCTCTTATTTATGCATTCATTTGTTTATTATGTACCCAGACAAGGGTTTGAACCCACAACCTTGGCACATTGGTCTGATGCTCTAACTGAACTACCCAGCCAGTGCTCTCCTTTAAAATTAGTTGTACTTTTTACTGTACAGGGTAGTTTATAAACTGATTTGGGCTCTACAAGCATGAAGAGGTGAACATTTTCCAGCTTCAGACATTCTCTGGTTGTGGACAGTCGATGGCAGAAAATAGCTGGCCAGTTTTGACCAAATTTTTGTAGCTCTCCAAAGTTCCCTAGAAAGGAATGAAGGGCTTTCTGGTTCTCATTTGGATATTGTGTTTTAGGAATCTCAGAGATTACCCTGAGGAGGTGGCAGATATAAGACCCTCAGATAGTCACGAGAGTAGCATGATTTTTCCTTTACCCGAAGCTGATGGCACAGATTGTATCAGAACTGGGAATGGCTTGTCTTCTGGTCTTCAGGAAATGTGCCTTGCTGTCCACAATTCATTGGACTAGGGTAACTGGTTGAGAGACTGGGTCTAGGAAAAACCGTAGCTGGTGCAGAAAAAGTAGCCCATAATGACTGGAGAAATTGCAGCCAGATAGATTAATGTGCCTCTTCTAAACATGTATCCAGGATTCTTTTTGCAAGTGCAACTGTGATCAATTTGCACAGATCTGAGACCTCCCAAGCATGATTATTTTGTGTAGCTGAGGTCCATATTTTAATAAAACTTAGTCCAGTAGGCGCATAATATGTATGGGTTTTGCATCCTTGGATTTCACTGTGGGTGGAAAATGCTAAAAGAAAGTTACATTGTTGCTCACATGTAACCATGTAGTTAGCTGTATAGTGGTTGTATGATTGTTCCTACTAAACATGAACAGTTTTTCTTGCTCTTCAAAACCACAATATAAAAAGTATATAAAACGTAGGCCCTGGCTGGTGTAGCTGAGTGGATTGAGCACGGGACTGGGAAGCAAAGGGTTCGATTCCCAGTCAGTACACATGCCTGTGTTGCAGGCCACATTCCCCAGTGAGGGGAGTGTAAGAGGGAGCCAAAAATTGGTGTTTCCCTCCCTCCCTGCACCTCTGTTTAAAAATAAATAACATCTTTAAAAATGAAGTATATAAAATTTATATTGCATTATGTATTATAAGTAATCTAGGAATTTGTTAAGGTATACAGAACATTGTAGGCTATATGCAAACCTTATGCCATTTTATATAAGGGACTTGAACATCCACAGACTGGTATTTGCAGACTCGTGAAATCAATCCCTCATAGATAGTGTCTTAGAGTATAAAGCAAGAAATATTACATGGGTAGCCTTGATAGATGTCACTTGGTTGGGTGTCATGGAAAGTGAAGTCACCAGTTTCATTCCTGCCCATGGCACATGCAAGAGTTGCGCCTTTGCCCCAGGCAAGCAGGAAGCAAACCAATCTTTGTTTCTTACATCAATGTTTCTTCATCTTATCCTTGTCTTCCCCCTTCTCTAAAAATAAATAAAATCTTAAAAAAAAAGAAATGTTATGTGTGTAAAATTGTCCCTAAATGGGCAATGCATAATCATTACCTACCAGGAAGAGAGAGGGGTTTTTTTCTTTTTCTTTTTTGAAATTGGACTAAAAGTAGAACTTGTAGAACTTGTCTACTGCTTCAGAAATACCCAAAGCTGTAGAGAATTGTTAGAGTTTATGTGAGCCACAATGATGACATATGCCTAGGAGAAAAATCTAATGCTTTTGAGAATAAATTTTGTACTTTTATGTAGTTGAAGTTGAGGGTACAGAAGGGCAACTGCAGGGAGTTTGGCAAAAGCAAAGTGTGATGGGGATTACAGGATGGTTAATAAAATTGTACACTCTCTTGAGGGTTCATTGTCCCATTGAGTGCTATTAGCGGTACTTTTGGTATTCTGAAGGAGTATTAACCTACAGACACATTAAAAAGACAAGGCTGCCTTAGCACTTTTCCCTAAAGAAGTTTCAGGCCTGGCATGTGACTCCCCACTATGCCCTTCAGGGTTAGGAGTTGATGATCAGATAGATCGCCCTTTGAAGTTACTTTCCACAGAATCCCCGCCCCCTTTTGGGGGGTTGGTACTGCCTATTTAAAGCTATTCAGAATATACGTCGTCTTTCTTTCCAACCATGGCTCAGTATGGAGTCATTTTTGTTTGTTCTTGGTTAATCATAAAGCAAAATACAAGTACACACTTAAGGCTACACATATTTGGAGGCAATAACAACGTCCTGCTATGCCTGGACTGTTTTGTATGTGAGTAACTGGAAGGACATTTCCTTTCAGATCAAGAGATTTGAGAGCATCTCAAATATTTTTCATTCTGGGAGCAGGCTGAAATTCATGAAAGGAGGAGTTGTGTCTTCGGCTGTAGTTCACAATGAGCAAAGGCTCTGGAAATCGGTACATCACCGCAGGATCACTGCCTTACAACATTCTTGTGGGCAATGATTGAGAACTTTTCTGCCGCTTCTTAAGGTCCGAGGAACTACATTGCCCAGAAGTGCATGCGCGAAGTTAAACCAATGACGTACCAGACTGAAAGCATTTCCTTGAAACTGACGTGGGGCGGGGCTTCCGGTTCTCTCTCCTGGCGGCCATACTTGCTCTGTGTGTGTGGAGTCGGTCCGTTGAATCGTGTCAGTTTTGAGGTAACAAATCCGAGAAAGAGCCACGGAGTCTTGGTCCTTGTCTCACAGACTCGAGTTTGAAGCGCGCAGAGGACACCCGGGTGGCCGGTGCGAAGGCCGTTTCCTCGAACACAGATCTCGTACCTCAGTCCCGAGTTGATGGCTGTGGCCAGTGTGAGGCGCCCAGCTGAGGTGAGTGTGTAACCCAGGCCCTCTCCTAACCCCGTCCCGAGCCCTGCAGCCCAGGTTCCTGGGCGCCAGTCAAGTACTGCAGCCTCAGCCGCGGTCGGTCAACCGTGTTTAGGTGGCGGAATGCACGTCGATCTGGCAGCGGTACTACTTGGTCAGGAAAAGAGGGTGCGGGTTGAAGAGTTGTTTCTTGCTCTGCAGTTCATCAATGTGCTCCATACAGGAAAAAAAGTGAAGGAAGGAGGTGGTTACGGTAACTGTGTGGCAAGTGAGGAAGGCTTCGATGGTACAAGTGGAAATGATAGTTCTGGAGGCAGAAGAGTAACTGCGATGACGTGGCACTGAGGGCAAAGTTGCTGTTTGTTTACCAGGGCAGTATTCACCCCGCGTGTGCTGTGCTGTGCTGAGGTCTTGGGGGAGGGTGGTTTCAGTCCTGTTGGTGGACAAAAGCTGGGACAAATGTCACTTTTGATTGTCACTGTACCTGGAATGGAGACCATCAGAATTGGGGTTTTAAACTGGTGAAAGCCCATTGTGGCTGCTGAGAACAGCCAGTCGGAAAGGGTAATGGGCATCAGAAGTTCACACGTGCTTCTGGGAGGCAAATATTGAAATAAGAGCTAGAAGTATAGAGGAGTCTTTCAAAGCAGCGTCTCCACAAATGTGTGCCTATGGGAGCTCAAGTGGTGACTGAAGGTGTCAAAGGGACAATCTACGTAATGATGTGATTATTGAGAAAAAGTGAGTTATTGTCCCAGAGCCCTTGGGCACTGAAGGGTGAAGCATGAGCCCACACTTGCCTGTGTCTTGTCACAATCTAGAGACCACAAAGGGAATTAATGACAGGGTGGATGGGACCTTACAAGCCAGGACCAGAACTGGATTACATCTCTGTGCTTTCCTGCCTGATGAGGCTGAGGGCTGAACAATAATGAATAAAAAGGGACCTGAGGGTAGGACAGGTATCAGTGGAATTCCTCTGAGATGTGCAGCTTTAGAGAAGGTTGGGTGTGGGGTAGATGTGCGGCAGGTGGGTTGTGGTTCTCACACACAGAATGTTTATGTTTTTTTCTGTCCCCATGATAACAGGCCAGTGTGACCTTTGAGGATGTTGCTGTGCACTTCTCCTGGGAGGAATGGAGGCTACTTGATGAGGCTCAGAGACGCCTGTACCTCTGTGTGATGCTGGAGAACTTTTCACTTATATCCTCTCTGGGTAAGACCCACAGCCTCACCAGTGACTCGGACTAGACTCTACTCCATCCACCCCAAGACCTTTCTCAGTGCTCAGGTGTAGACCACGGGCACTGCTTGCTGCCCTAGTTTTCTGGGTAGTTGCTGTATTGCTAGGGCTGGTGTGTTTTCACTGCCCTCATCTCTCCCTGTAGTCCCAGTCCTAAACCCTTTTAGGGAAGAATTCAAGGTCAGTACTATTGCATTGAGCTTGGTGCATTCACAGTGCTTGCCCTCTCAGTGTCTGGGTTAATGTGTCCAGATCTGCGTCACTTCTGCATCCTGGGGTTTGAGTCTTTCTTTTAGCTGTCATTTCCTGCCTCCCTGGGCCAGGAGTTGCAGGTGTTGTCCTGGTCATTAGGTATCTGAACCATGGACTTGTCTTAAAATACCTTCGGTACATAGTGTGTAGTCTTTAGATCTGTTTTCCTTTTTTTCCCCTAGCTTTGTGGAGGTATAAACTCGTATATATTGAAGTGTAGAGTGTAGTGATTTTATGCATTTAGTGAAATAATTGCCACAGTGAAGTTAATTCAACATCACTATAGAAAATTACCTTATTTTTTTTTATGCTAAGAATCCTTAAGATCTACTCTCTTGAATTTCAAGTATATGATATTGTTAACTATAGGTACCACGCTTTTAATTACTTCTTCAGAATTCACTCATCTTTTAAAGGAATGTTTGTCCCTGACCAACAGGTACCCATTTTGCAGTACACTCCAGATCCTGGCATTCTGCTCTTTTTTCATAATTTTGATTTTCTTTCTTACATTTCAACCACATGTACAGCAGTTTTAGTATATGTACACCTGCACTTCTCTCTTGTTTTTTAAAAAAGATTTTATTCATTTATTTTTAGAGAGAGGGAAAGGGCGAGAGAAGAAAAAGAGGGAGAGAAACATCAATGTGTGGTTGCCTCTCACATGCCCCCTACCCAGGACCTGGCCCACAACCCAGGCATGTGCCCTCACTGGAAATCAAACTGGCGACCCTTTGGTTTTCAGGTGGGGACTCAGTCCACTGAGCCACCCCAGGCAAGGCTCTCTGCTGTTTTAATGATAGCCATCTTATCAGGTGGGGGGTTGATATCATTCTTGGTTTGATTTGCATTTTATGTTGCTTAGTGAGTAAAAACGAGTGTATGTGTGTTTTATGTTTTTCGGTGCCAAAACATGGAAGGAAGTACATTTATCATATCTCTGTGGACCATTTTTAGATTTGGGATTAAATAATTATTCTGGTTTGTTGCCAATTTTTTGATTTTCTATTGAGTTGTATGGGACCTTGTATGTTTTGGATATTTACCCCTTAGGGGACAGTTTTTACAAATATTCTCTTATATTCCATTTTGTTCATTCCTTTCTTTTTAACATTTAATTTAATTTTATTATTTATTGAGAGAGTGAAACAGACAGAGAAACACCAATGTGTGAGAGATACATCCATCAATCAGTTGTCTCGCCCTCATCTGGGGACTTGGCCTGCAATTTAGGCATGTGCCCTGACTCAGAACTGACTGGTGACCTTTCAGTCAACACTTCAGTGCTCAATCCACTGAGCCACACCAGCCAGGGCTGTTGATTGCTTTCTTTACTATGCAGAATTGCTTTCTTTACTATGAAGTTTGAGGTAGCCTAGCTTACTTTTTGCTTTTCTTGCCTGTTTGGGGTGTCATCCAAAATATTGTTGCCAGAGCCAGTTTCAAAAAGATCTTTTTTCCCAAGAAATTTTGTATTTCATGTGTTATGTTTGAGGGTTTAGTACATTTTGAGTTAATTTTTCTGACAGTTATAAAGTAGGGTGTCAGGTATATTTTCAGTTTTCTCAACACTTTTAATTTATTTTACTGATTTTTATAAAGAGTGGGTGGGAGGAGAGAGAGAAGCAGAAACATCGATTTGTTGTTCCACTTATTTATGCATTCATTAGTAGATTCATGTTGTTTGTCCCTGATCAGGGATTGAACCTGAAACCTTGGTGCATCAGGATGATGCTCTAAGCAATTGATTTTCCTGGCCAAAGCTCAACACTATTTCTTGGATAAACTATCTTTTCCCCATTGTGTGGTTTTGGTGTTCTTAGCAAAGAATAGTTGCCCACATATTTGGGTTTATTTCTGGGCTGTTTATATTCTGTTTCTTAAATCTGTGTGTCCATGTGTCTATTAACATCTCTTTTGGTTAATATTGTTTTGCAGTATGGTTTAAATCCTTAAGTGTTAGCCCTGAACAGTGTGTCTCAGTGGTTGGGTGTTATCTCTCAAAGGTAAAGGTTGCTAGTTCTATTCTTGGTCAGGGCACATGCCTGGGTTTCAGGTTTGGTCTCCATTGGGATGTGTACAAAAGGCAACTGATCAGTGTTTCTCTCTCATCTCAGTATTTGTCTCTCTTTCTCCCTCCCTTGTCCTCGAAAAATAAATGAAGTCTTAAAAAAGTAAATCATGAAGTATGATGCCTCTATCTCTGTAGTTGATCTTCTTGATCAAAATTGCTTTGACTATTGGATATCATTTGTTGTTTGAATTTTAGGATTCTTTTTCTGTTCCTGGTAAAAAATGTTATGGATTTTGGTAGAGATTGCATTGAATCATTTGGTCATTTTGTTTATTAGAAATATTTTAACAATAATAATTGTTCCTATTCAAATATACAGGATATCTTTCCATTAGTTTGTATCTTCAATTTCTTTGAAAACTGTGTTATAATTTTTAGAATCCAAATCTTTCTCCTCCTTGATTAAATTTATTTCTAAGTATTTTATTGTTTTTAATGCTATGGATTTCTTCATTTCCTACTGAAATATTTTGTTAGTGTTATGATGCATCTGATTTTTATGTAGATTTGGGGTTCTGTAAATTTACAGGGATTGTTCTTCTAGCAGAGTTTTTATTTATTTTTTTGTGTGCAGATTTTAGGTTTAATCATATAAACTTATGTCATCTGCAAACACAAGCAGTTTTACTTCTTTTTTGGTACAGCTTTTTATTTATCCTGAGAGGAGAATATGGTCACTGATCTTGGAAGGAAAGGAAGGGGGAGAGACAGGGAGAGAAACATTGATGTGAGAGTGACAGGGAAACATTGATCAGTTGCTTCTCTTACATGCCCTGACCTGGGACCAAACCACAATCCTGGCATGTGCCCTGACTGGGCATGGAATCACTGACCATTCCCTTTATAGGACAATACCCAAGAAACTGAGCCACACTGGTCAGGGCAATATCGATGATCTTTTAAAGCTTTTCAAAAAGATTTTATTTATTTATTTTAGGTGGGGGAGGAAGGGAGAAAGAGAGGGAGAGAAACATCCATGTGCTAGATACATCAATCAGTTGCCTCTTGAATACCTGCACACCCCCACACCCCAATCCAGGACCTGGCCTGCAACTGAGGCATTTGTCCTGATGGGGAATGGAACTGCAGACCTATAGTTTTGCAGGGTGGTGCTGAATCCATTGAGACACTCCAGCCAGGGCCATTATTTTTTCAAATAACCCTATGATAACGTGTAATTATGTAGACTTTCTTCACTCTATTTAGTTCTTTTGATTACTTTTCCTTTGGATGGTATTAAAACACCTTTCCATTTCTGAATCACTCTGCCCCATTCTTTTCATTTATTATCTTTTTAAGCACCATAATTTCTGTTTCTTTTATTTTGAAGTCCTTCTGACCATTCACAGATCTTCATTTCTTTGGGGTAATTGATAAATTACTGTGTTTTCTTGTTTGGGGGTTTGTTGTCATGTTTCCTTGATGGGGTGTGTGTGTGTGTGTGTGTGTGTGTGTGTGTGTGTGTGTGTGTACTTTGGAGCCTTGTGTTGATGACTGTACATTTCACAGAGCAGAATTTCTTGCAGACTTCATGGAAAGGTTTTACGGGGCAAGATCCTGTGTGTGGGTGTCACTGTGCAGACTTAGTAGGATGTTGCAGTTTTCAATACAAGGAGGCCCAGCAGCTTAGTGTCTGAATCTGTGTCACCTGAGGTCAACATTAGGGAAACAATAGCTAAGACTGTGGGTGTTGACACCAGTAGAGAAGGTTTCTGAGGACTTCTCAACTTTGTTCTCTCGTGGGAACTGTTTTGGCTGAGTGGTTCCCTTTTGGTGCCAAGTGCAGGGGGTCTTCATGGTGATGATGCAGTTGGTGTCTGATCTTTGGGCACCTGTAGAGCAGGTGTGAATCTGATTCTAGACTCTGAGTAGACTCAGAGGAATAGCAGTAGTAAGGTCTCAGATACTGACAAGCCCCCAGGAAAATTGACATTGTTGTGTGAGATGCAGTCACACACCGATCAGTTCTGGAGCCTGTGACCAGCACACAGGTACACACAGAGAGACAGTGATTCTGGTGTCTGAGGAGCCGGCTGCCCCTCAGTGGTCATGGCTTTGGTGCCTGAGCCCTAAGCACTCACTTGATGGCTGTGGAGTCAGGGTCTAAGATGCAGGCATCCCAGGAGCAGCTGTGGCTCTGGGGCCTGGGATTTGGGAGATGTGGCTGCCCTGGTGCTGGAAAGGGGGAGCAAGGAGAACTCACCCACTCTGGTCCCACAGGTTGCCTGTGGTGGTGGCCCTTGGTACCGTCAGTGTTAAGGCTGCCAGTGTCCTCTGGGGAGTAGGCAGCTTGGACCCAGGGCAACACGTGCTGGGTTTCCTCTGCTGTGCATATTGTAGGAGTTCTCACTTTCAGCAGGATCTGTGGTCTCTGTGGCAAAGGCTTTGGGGTTTTTGGCAGAGCACGGCATTGGGAACACTATGTCATCTGCCCTGTAGCTGGTATGCATGGCTTCTGCCTTATTGTTTCTTTTCCATTTCTGTCTGTGTTCACTAAGCTAATGTCACCACCTGATCTCTTTGTGTGGATATTCTCCTTTTCATTTTCCACTGTGTTGCTGTGTGTCTTTTTGTTTTTAAGTTGTTTCATTATTTTTCTAAAAAACATTTTTATGATAGGGAAAGGGAGGGAGAAAAAACATAGATGTGAGAGAAATATCAGTTGCTTGTCTTTTGAACGCGGCCCAGCTAAGTACTGAGCCAACAAAGTGGGCATATGCACTGATCAGGAATTGAATTCCTGACCTTCTGTAGAATGATGCACAACCAGTTGAGCTACACCAGGCATGGTGCTGTAGCATTTTAATGATACTCTTTAGTGCTCCAAGGACCAATTTTCTCTGTGTATAACTGTCTTAATATTTTGTTATTAGTAATCAAGGCTGGTTTCTTTCACCATCATGCTGATATGACTCACCTACGTCTCTTTTCTGCATCTGTTCTATGCTTCCTTGCTCTGGGACAATGCTGGCCATTCAGTGTTCCTGGTTTTTCCTTTTGTCACCCATGTTCTATGTAGCTGCCCTGCTAGGACTTTGAGGGAAGAGTCCTATCTACATGAATCACAGGATGGATCTCTCTCTAACAATGGCAAAGTGGGCTCACAGGAGGTGTGGTAGCTATGGAGATTGTGAACTCAGGATCTCGTTCAGATCATATCAGGAATATGACTTTTTTTCAACCATAGTTTTGCTGTTATTGCCAGTAGCCCCACCCACTTCTACCTTTTCCAGCTTTGACACTTTGCTGACTTGTCAGTCCTACTACTTGTCACTTCCCCCATGGTTTCCAGCTCAGGGATATTTCTACCTCCATTGATTCACATTTCACCCTTTCTCTCACCCCTCTGTCTGTAGTACTCTTGAACATTGGCGCTCATGTGTTATTCACCCAGACACTCACAAATCTATATATTGATCTTGTACAGCAGCTCATATCTTGCAATTGGACAGTAATGGGTTTGTATGCATGCTTCTACCCAGCCTAATGTCAGCAGCAGAAAGGAACATGCAGGAAGCTGTTGGCAGAGGAAATGCATTATAAGCCCTGTCTCTCTTCCGTGTGTCATGCCCTGTGCGAGTATCCTTCCCCTGGAAAGGTTTCCATTATATTGTGACCTTGGAGGCCCAATAAAAGACAAGAATCAGCCAGTCCTTCAGTAGCACTTTCTCATTTTGAAGAACATTTCATGTATTCTTGCTTTCATGTGACATATACATATGTGTGCTGGGGTTCTCTGCTGTTAATAGATACTTCACCTGCATTTCTCTGTATTCAGGTTGCTGCTGTGGAAGAAAGGATGTGGAGACACCCATTGAACAGAATGTTTCTGTACAAGTATCACAAACCAAGAATCCCAAGGCAACTTCATCTTCCCAGAAGACTCACCCCTGTGCGAGTTGTGGGCCTGTCTTGAGAGACATGTTCACCTTGGTAGAGCAGCAGGGCACACAACACAGCCCGACACTGCTGAGGTGTGGGGCATGTGCAAAACGATTTCATTTCAGTGCAAAGTGTCAACAGTACCAGGAACAGCATATGGGACAGAAACCCTTCAGTAGTACTCTGTGCAGGTCCTCATTTGTGAAGAGCTGCAAAATCCACATGTCAGAGAATCCCTTTACCTGTGATGAGGTTGAGATTGACTTCCTGGCCAGCTCAGGTCCTCAGCAGCAGCAGGACACCCATAATGTGAAGGAGCCCAACAAAGACACCCAGTGGGAAGCAATGTTACAAAGCACAAAAAGTCTTTACAGTTCAGTAGAAGGCAAGAAAGCCTTCAACCCCCAACACATACTTGTGGACCAAGCAGTTCATACTGGAAGACAGTGTTTTGTGTGCAATGAATGTGGAAAAACATTCAGGTACAAATCCTCATTTATCACACACTGCACAGAGCACACTGGAGAAAGTTTCTGTGTGGGTGGTGAAAGTGGAAAATCATTTAGTGAAGCCTCAACCCTCAGTGAGCATCAAAAGATTCATACTGGAGCAAGGCAGTATAAGTGCAGCAAATGTGGAAAATCCTTAAGCCACAAATATTTCCTCATACCTCCCTTGGGACAGCACAATGGAGAAAACAGTTTTGTGTGCAGTGAATGTACAGAACCTTTTAGTCATAGTTCAGTGTTGATTCCCCATCAGAGAGTTCACACTGGAGAAAAGCCTTATAAGTGTAATGACTGTTCCAAATCTTTTACCTCTGTTGCTGCTCTAAATGATCATCAGAGCTCTCACACAGGAGACGGGCCTTATGGTTGCCGTGAATGTGGGAAATCTTTTACATCTACATACACCCTGAATAATCATCAGAGAGTTCATACAGGAGAAAGAGCTTATAAGTGCAATGAGTGTGGGAAATCTTTTACCTCTACCTCAAGCCTCCGTTATCATCACAGAGTGCATACTGGAGAGAGACCATATGAATGCAGTGAATGTGGAAAAACCTTTAAGGATAGGTCACAATTTACTAAACACCAGAGAGTTCACACTGGAGAAAGGCCTTATGAGTGCAGTGAATGTGGAAAGTCTTTTACCAGTAGCAGTAGCCTTTCTTATCATCAGAGAGTTCATACAGGAACAAAGCCTTACAAATGTGGTCAGTGTGAAAAATCTTTCGCCTCTGGTTCCACCCTCCGCTATCATCAGAGAATTCACACAAGAGAAAGGCCTTATGAGTGTGGTGAATGTGGAAAATCTTTTATCTGTAGTTCCAAACTTCGTTATCATCAGCGAATTCACACTGGAGAAAGGCCTTATGAATGTACGGAATGTGGGAAGTCTTATGCCCATAGAAATAACCTTCTTACACACCTGATAGTTCACTCAGGGAGTAGTCCTTATGAGTGCAGTGAGTGTGGAAAATATTTTACCTTTAGGTCTACCCTTCGTTACCATCATAGAATTCACACTGGAGAAAAGCCTTATGTGTGCAGTTTATGTGGCAAATCTTTTACTTCTAGCTCTACTCTTCGATGTCATGAGCGACGGCACCTTGGGCGAAGAACTCATGAATGCCATGAATGTGGGAAGTCTTTTACATCTAGTTCTACCCTTAGTTACCATCAGAGAATTCATACAGGAGAAAGACCTTATAAGTGCAATGAGTGTGGGAAATCTTTTACCTTTAGCTCAAGCCTCCGTTATCATCACAGAATGCATACTGGAGAAAGACCATATAAATGCAGTGAATGTGGAAAAACCTTTAAAGATAGTTCTCAATTTGTTAAACACCAGAGAGGTCACACTGGACAGAGGCCTTATGAGTGTAGTGAATGTGGGAAATCCTTTCATATCAAATACTCCCTCTCAATGCACCAGAAAATTCATAACAGAGAAAGGTCTTACAAGTGCAGTGAATGTGGTAAATCTTTTACCTCTGCTCCCGGCCTTCGTTATCATCAGAGACTTCACAGGGGTGAAAAGCCATATCAGTGCATTGAATGTGGAAAATCTTTTACTAGCAAGTCATCACTTGTTAGACACCAGAGAGTTCACACTGGAGAAAGGCCTTATGAGTGCACTGAATGTGGCAAATCTTTTACTTGTCGCTACTCCCTTCAATGTCACGAGCGAGTGCACCGTGGAGAAAGGCCTTATGAGTGTGGTGAATGTGGAAAATCTTTTATCAGTAGTTCCAACCTTCGTTATCATCAGCGAGTTCACACAGAAGACAGGCGTTATGAGTGCAGTGAATGTGGAAAGTCATTTAAGGATAGTTCCCAATTCAGCAAACACCAGAGAGTTCACACTGAAAAAAGACCTTATGAGTGCAGTGAATGTGGGAAATTTTTTAAGCGAATATCTACCCTGACTCAACATCAGAGAGTTCACACTAGAGAAAAGCCTTAAATGTGTTGCGAATGTACAATTTTCTGTTCAGTGTAACAAATAGCCTTGGAGGAAACTGAGGAGCCACCTGTCTGAATCTAAGCTGTTACATTTGAATTGACCCAATGAGGAGATTCCTTCTAAATTTCATTCATGTGGGAAATGTGTGGAAATGTAATTTCTTACTTGCTCAGGACTCTTTTTAGGTTTACAGTGCAAATTGTGTGGGTATAGCCTTTTCCACTTTACCACGGGGCAGGTTTACAAACTTTGCAAGAGTCCACACCCTAATGTGCTCAGGGAAACTGACCTCTTGTCCTCACATATACTGTAGTAAAGTAGGAATAATGTGAGCACTTAGGTGTCAGCTTTCCCTTTATGACTAATTTTGAGTCCCAGGGGTTCATTGGTCTTACGTGATACTTTTGATGACTTTTTCTAGCTAGCAGTTCATAAATCTAGGAAGTGCCTGTTGCACATTGCTTTGGCTTGTAGAATAATTGAGGCCTTACTCTTAATTTCATGCTAATCTTTATTTTTAAAATCAAAAAGATTTTATTTATTTCTAGCAAGGAGGAAGGAGGGAGAAATAGAAACGTAGATCAGTTGCTTCTCTCATGTCCCCAGCTTGGGACCCAACCTGCAACCCAGCCATATGCCCTGATCAGGAACTGCAGTAGCAACCTTGTGGGCCATAGGCCAGTGCTCAATCTACTGAGCTACACCAGCCAGGGCTGTTTTTAATTTTTATATATTGATTTTTAGAGAAGGGGGAGAGAGAATTATTTGTTTCTTATTTATGCATTCATTTGTTGATTATTTATGTACCCAGACAAGGGTTTGAACCCACAACCTTGGCACACTGGGGTGATGCTCTAACTAACTGAGCTACCCAGCCAGCGCTCTCCTTTAAAATTGGTTGTTTTGTTTTTTTTTTTTTTTTTACTGTGCAGAGTAGTTTATAAACTGATTTGGGCTCTACAAGTATGAAGAGGTGAATATTTTCCAGATCTCAAACATTCTCTGCTTGTGGACAGACTGTTGTGGACAATTGATGGCAGAAACTAACTGGCCAGTTTTGACCAAATTTCTGTGGCTCTCCAAAGTTTCCTAGAAAGGAATGAAGGGCTTTCTGGTTTTCATTTGGATATTGTGTTTTAGGAGTCTCAGAGATTACCCTGAGGAGGTGGCAGATATAAGACCCTCAGATAGTTACGAGAGTAGCATGATTTTTCCTTTACCCGAAGCTGATGGCACAGATTGTATCAGTGGGTCGTCATCTTCTGGTATTCAGGAAGTGAAATGGCCTGCTGTCCATATTTCATTGGACTAGGGTCACTGACCCTAGTCAGTGGGGAGAGACTGGGTTCAGGGAAGACCATAGTTGGTGCAGAAAAAGTGGCCCATTATAGATTGGAGAAACTGCAGCCAGCTCGATGAATGTGCCTCTTCTACACATGTACCCAGAATTCTTTCTGGGACCCTGACTGCACGATCAGTCTGCACATATCTGAGTACTCCCAGGCATGGTTATTTTGTATAGCTGAATTTGGTCATTTAAAAAAGAATAATTGAGTTCTGGGGGGTGTGGCTCAGTGCATTGAGTGCTGGTCTGGGAACCAAATGGTTGCAGGTTTGATTCTCAGGGCAAATGGTTTGCAGTTCAGGCCCCCAGTTGAGGCGTGCGAGAATCTGATCTTTCTGTTTCTTCCTCCGCTCCTCTCTCTCAAAATAAATAAATTGGGTGGGAAATGGGGATGGGTGTGGCGAGGGAAAGTGGTAGTGGGTAATGGAGAGAATTGTATTCGAACAACTATAAAAATGATTAAAAAATAAAAAAATATTTTAAAAATATTTTAAAAAGTCAAGTTGGGCCATTGTATCCATGGGTTTCACATCCTTGCATTACACTAATCATGAGTGGAAAATATTAAAATATAACTTACATTTTTGCTCACGTGTACTATGTACTTCTAGCTGTATATTGGTTGTGTGGTTTTGCCTGCTGAACATGAATAGTTTTTCTCGATATTCTGTAAAACTACAATACAAAAAAAGTATATAAAATTTATATTGCATTATGTATTATAAGTAATCTAGAAATTTGTTAACGTCTACAGGACATATGTAGGCTATATACAAATCTTATGTCATTTTATATGTAAGTATTTGCAGGGTCATGGAATCAATCCCTCATAGATAGTGTTTGTCTTAGATTATAAATTAAGAAATATTACATGGGTAGCCCTGACTGATGTGGCTCAGTTGATTGGGTGTCATGGAAAGTGAGTTTGCCTGTTTCATTCCTCGCCATGGCACGTGCCAGAGTTGCGGATTTGGTCCTGGTAAGCAGGAGGCAACTGATCTATGTTTCTCTCACATCAGTGTTTCTTCCCTTCACCTTCTTCCTCTTCTCCCTTTCTATAAGTAAATAGTCTTTTTTATAAAGAAACACTATGCAGGTAAAGTCCGTAAGTGGGCAGAATATAATCATTGACTACGGGGAAGAGAGAGGTTTTTTCTTTTGTTTGTTTGTTCATGGACTAGAAGAACTTGACATGAGGAACACCTGAAGCTGTAGAGAATTTTTAAGAGTTTATGTGATCCAAAATGATGACATGCCTGGGAGAAAAGTCTCCAATGCTTTTGAGAATAAGTTTTGCACTTTTATGCAGTTGAAATTGAGGGTACAGAGGGAAAACTGCATGGAGTTTGGCAAAAGCAAAGTGTGAAGGGGATTACAGGATAGTTAACAAAATTGTACACTCTCTTGAGGGTTCATTGTCCCATTGAGTGCTATTAGCGGTACTTTTGATACTCTGAAGGAGTATTAACCTACAGACACATTAAAAAGACAAAGCTGCCTTAGCACTTTTCCCTAAAGAAGTTTCAGGCCTGGCATGTGACTCCCCACTATGCCCTTCAGGGTTAGGAGTTGATGATCAGATAGATCGCCCTTTGAAGTTACTTTCCACAGAATCCCCGCCCCCTTTTGGGGGGTTGGTACTGCCTATTTAAAGCTATTCAGAATATACGTCGTCTTTCCAACCATGGCTCAGTATGGAGTCATTTTTGTTTGTTCTTGGTTAATCATAAAGCAAAATACAAGTACACACTTAAGGCTACACACATTTGGAGGCAATAACAACGTCCTGCTATGCCTGGACTATTTTGTATGAGTAACTGGAAGGACATTTCCTTTCAGATCAAGAGATTTGAGAGCATCTCAAATATTTTTCATTCTGGGAGCAGGCTGAAATTCATGAAAGGAGGAGTTGTGTCTTCGGCTGTAGGTCACAATGAGCAAAGGCTCTGGAAATCGGTACATCACCGCAGGATCACTGCCTTACAACATTCTTGTGGGCAATGATTGAGAACTTTTCTGCCGCTTCTTAAGGTCCGAGGAACTACATTGCCCAGAAGTGCATGCGCGAAGTTAAACCAATGACGTACCAGACTGAAAGCATTTCCTTGAAACTGACGTGGGGCGGGGCTTCCGGTTCTCTCCTGGCGGCCATACTTGCTCTGTGTGTGTGGAGTCGGTCCGTTGAATCGTGTCGGTTTTGAGGTAACAAATCCGAGAAAGAGCCACGGAGTCTTGGTCCTTGTCACTCAGGCTCGAGTTTGAAGCGCGCAGAGGACACCCGGGTGGCCGGTGCGAAGGCCGTCTCCTCGAACACAGATCTCGTACCTCAGTCCCGAGTTGATGGCTGTGCCGAGTTGATGGCTGTGGCCAGTGTGAGGCGCCCAGCTGAGGTGAGTGTGTAACCCAGGCCCTCTCCTAACCCCGTCCCGAGCCCTGCAGCCGCAGCCGCGGTCGACCGTGTTTAGGTGGCGGAATGCATGTCGATCTGGCAGCGGTATTACTTGGTCAGAAAGAACCAAGGTACGGGATGTGGAGTTTTTTTGTTCTCTGCACTTGCTCATGGTGCTGCGCAATAAATACAAGTGAAGGAGGGAGGTGGTCATGGTGATTGTGTGGCAGGTGATGAAGGTTTCAGTCGTACTAGTGGACATAATTCTGAGGCAGAAGAGTAACTTAGATTACATGACACTGAGGGCAAAGCTGCTTTTTCACTACTGCAAGATCCACTCTGTGTGTGTGCTGTGTGTGATGAAGTCTGTGGGGTCTCAGTCTTAAGGTCTGAGATATTCCTTTATTATGTAAATGGGTGTATCCTTCCGTACTCATTCACACATAAAATAAGTACACGCATAGCTGGAAACATTATGACATTGCTTTTCAAGTGTATGTAACCTGAAGAATTAGTCAGTGTTGTCACTATGTCTGGTCAAGAGGAAAAAGTTCCATGTAGGGCCATAAGAAGACTATTAGGTTGCAATGAAGCAGGTGGACAAACTAGAGCCCTGCCACTGGTTCCACAGGAAAACCTCTCTCTTGCCTGTGTCACTGACAGCAATTGTGTCTGCCCCATTCCTGAACATTGCTTTATTTGCATACTAATTTTTAGTACATATGCTAACATATACTCAAATTCCTTTGAGTAATCTTACATATATCTCAACCAGAGAGCAACTTAAGTAATACTATGCTAATAGAGTTTTACAATCACAGCAAAATTGAACAGCAGGTTTAGATATTTTTCCTATACCTCTGCCCCCAAAACCTGTATAGCCTCCCTCAATACCAATATCCCCCAACCTGAGATTTTTTTACAATTTATAAACCTACACTGACACATCATCCTTCAAAGACAAGTTTACATAAAGTTCATTCTTGTTGTATATTCTACTGGTTTGGACAAATGTTTTATAAACAAAATTTCCAGAAGACCCTTCTGAGAAATTGAAAGGGACTTTTTTCTTTTGGATTTGCAAATCAGGGAACACAGCCTTCAGTAAAAACAAGACATACCCTGAGTGGGGACAGTGGAATGGGGTTTTTGAAGATGCATTTTAGGTTTTTTGTTTTTTGTTTTTTTATTATAAATTCAACTTTTTATTATAAACCAATTTTTAAGTATATTTTATTGATTGTGCTATTACAGTTGTCCTGATTTTTTTCTCCCCTCTATCCTCCCTTCCACCCTGTACCCTACCCCTGTTTTCCAGCATTCCCCCTCCCCCTTTGGTTCATGCCCATGGGTTGTACATAAGTTCTTTGACTTGTGTTTCCTATAGTATCCTTAAACTCTCCCTGTCTATTTTATGCCTACCAATTATGCTTCTTATTCCCTGTACCTCCCCCCCATTTTCCTCCTCCCCACTGAAAACCCTCTATGTGATCTCCATTTCTCTGGTTCTATTCCTTTTCTAGTTGTTTGCTTAGTTTTTGTTTTGTGTTTTAGATTAATTTGCTAGTCATGACTTTGTAGTCATTTTACTGTTCAGTTTTTGATCTTCTGTTTCTTAGATAAGTTCCTTTAACATTTCACCTAAGGGCTTGGTATGATGAACTCCTTTAACTTGACCTCATCTGGGAAGCACTTTATCTGCCCTTCCATTCTAAATGATAGCTTTGCTGGATAGAGTATTCTTGGCCATAGGTCCTTGTCTTCCATGACTTCAAATACTTCTTTCTAGCCCGTTCTTGACTACAAGGTTTCTTTTGAGAAATCAGCTGATGGTCTTATGGGCACTTTTTTGTAGGTAACTCTCTCCTTTCCTCTTGCTGCTTTTAAGATTCTCTCTTAATCTTTAATCTTGGCTAACCTACTTATGAGGTGCCTCGGTGTGTTCCTCCTTGGGTCCAAGTTCTTTGGGACTCTCTGGGCTTCCTGGAAGTCTGTTTCCTTTGCCAGATTGGGTAAGTTTTCCTT